TATATATATATATATATATAAGAATGTGTACGTATGTGTCTTCAGGTGTCAGATAACTTCTGCTGCATTTACGAAGGGATTTTTAGCATTAGAGGGAGAATTAACTCCTATCCTTGTTGCCCTTGTTATACATAATAGCAAAGCATACTCTCTCTTAGATGAAGGCTCTCAGTGCGCAAGCGAGAAAAGGGTACATACACTCTATGCTCCTGCTGCTACTCCTGCTGCTGTTCCTGCTGTTGCTGTATCCGCTGCTATACCTGCTGCTTCATTTGCTGCTAATGCTCCTCCTCCGCTTGCTGCTCCTGCTAATCGGGCTCATGCGCCTCCGGCAGCTGGCAAGGCATTCGTGGAGCTGCTTTTCCCGGTGCTATTGTTGCTGCTGCTGGTGCTGCTGCTGGTGCCAATGGATGGTTTGGGCGTGTGCTGCCTGTTGCTGCTGCTGCTGCTGCAGGTACTGAAACAGTGTCTCGACTTCCTGCTTAACCTCAATGAGGAGCAGCTGGCAACGCTAAAGGCGCGCGTGGTTGAATTAATTAAGCAGAGACAGCAGCTGCAGCTGGAGGAGCAGCAGCAGCAAAAACCGGTACAACAGCAGGTGACGGAGGATCCAGAGCCCGTAGCAGCAGAAGGCGGAGGTGCAGCAGGTGAAGCAACGGCTGTTGCTGAACCAGCTATAGCGGGAGACGCTGGAGAGCAGAGAGAAAGAGCGACAAAGAAATCAGAGGGACAGTTGAAGCACCAGAAGGAGCAGCAGAAGGAGACACATCGTGGTGTACACCCGGAAGGGAGGGAGGCAGAGGAGCCTTGGGGGGCTGAGAGGCTGCTGCTCAGCAGCACACCAGCAGACATCAACCTGCTACCTAAGCAGCTAGAAGCGCTGCAGCGGCTGCAGTCTCCTCTGGATAAACAGAAAGAGGTAGGCAGTCTGTACTCCCGGAATGGAGACAGCGGTAGCATTAGCAGTACCATTAGCAGTAGCACTAGCAACGGCAGCAGCAGCAGCAGCAGCAGCAGTGTGTGTATGTATGTACGTGTGTGTGTGTGTGTGTGTGTGTGTGTGTGTGTGTGTGCGTTGTAGATATTGGGACTAATATATGAGTTCTTAGAGTTGTTAGAACCTTTAATTGAAGAAGCAACTGCAGGCGAGACAGAGGGGGCAGGGACACCTGTCTCCTCCGCTCCTCTGTCTCTTAAGCAAGCAGCAGCAGCAAAGCTGCAAGACATGAAGAGCCGCTGGCAGAAGATTGCTGCTGATTGGTAATAAGCCCAATAAGAAACAGGGTTGGGGGGTTAGATTCTAGGGTTTAGGGTTTAGGCTCTAAGACTTTGAAGCTGCCTCCTCGTTCTATGGGCTGCGCACGGCTGCTGGTAGTGCTGCTGCTGCTCGTTCGTCTCCTAGTGTTGCTGTTGCAGTAGGGCACCTCAATTATAATAAGTGTCTCCTTCTTTCTCCTTTTGAATGCAGGTATAAGGGGGGTTTATTTGATAGCAGCAAGGTGTCAGATATCTTGGACTTAGTACGATATGAGCTCATACACCACTGCTACCTCCTCTCTAGAGACGGTATGCTGGAAAGCCTAAACCCTACGACTGCTGCTGCAGCTGCTGCTGAGAGCAGCAGTACCGAGCTGATGTTCTCCCATTGTTTCTGCAGCAGCAGCACTAGGAGATGGAGGCGCATCCGCTTCCACAGCAGCAGCAGCAGCAGCAGCAGTGCATGTCCTTGTGTGTGCTCAGCGTTGAAGACAGCCATAAGTATCCACAATCGTATAAAAAGTTTACAAGAATCAGTTGCTGCTTTTGCTGCTGCTCACAGCAGCGAAGAGAAACTTCGCCTGGCTGTCCCTGTTGTAAGCAGACTCATCCGCAAGATCCTAAGAGACGTTACGTTCTTCAGGTAGGTATTAAGCTATCCAACTAGCTAGCTAACTAGCTAGCAATCTAGCTAACTAACCATGTAGCTAGCTGGATAGTAGACTAGTTAGTTAGCTAGCTAGTTGGACACACAGGCGTACAGCGGACTGCCTGCATTCTCTACAGTCCAGGCAGCAGGGGAGCAGGGCGTCCTTCTAGCTTGCCAACTTGCCAGATAGCTAGCTAGCCAGCTAGCTATGTTGTATATGAGTATTTATACTTTTTAAAATTTATGTAATTGGGTATTTGCTGCAGAAGCGACGACTCGCATCAAAAGCCGCAGCCGGCAGGAGGGCATGCATCTTGCTTCTCTTGCAACTCTGCTGCTTGGGGCACAAGTCTGGGTGCAGCAGCTGCTGCCGCTGCAGCAGTCACCTCCGAGGAAGAGACGACTGCAACTGGTGCTGCAACTGCTGCTGCAACTTCTGGTGCTGGCTCCTCGCACGAGGCACAAGGGACGAGTGCGCTGCTGCAGGCAGGAGACACAACAGCAGCTGCAGCCGGTATCTCCCCCACAGGGACTACCACTCCCGCATGTGGAGACACCGCAGCGATCTTCAAGGAAGACAGAGACATGATGCCACCGCTTAGGGGCTCTCGCAGAGGCGCACCTGTACCCGAACTCGGCCGCAGCAGCAGTAGCAGCAACATTAGCAGCAACAGCGGCAGCAGCAGCACATGTTCCAGCAGTAGCGCCTTGGCACCCAGCGCAACTCCTTGTGGGCTTGGAGCCGCAACAACAAATAATAGTCTTCGCGGGACAGGTGGGTTGAGCTAGGGGGAGACAGACAGGAGCGAGGGAAAGAAGGCACTTTGGGATAGACGGAGAAAGACGTCTGCGGAGGGAAACAGGAGAAGGAGGCACGCCGAGACGGACGGGCTGTAGAAAGATATAGGAGGAGACAGGAAGAGAGAGAGTGTGATCAATACAGACACAGCAACACCGCTTGGGTGACTCCTTTCCTGTTGCTTGTCCATCATCTGCATGCATGTGGATGCATGTGTGTTTTTGCAGGGGATGGTGTGCAGCCGTCTCCTCGAGGAGGAAGTAGCGGGGGGATCGTGTCTGGATCTGGATCAGGTCCTGCTGCGGGCTCGCCACGGGGCCGCAGCAGCTGCTCTCCCCATGGAGCCCCCGTTGGGGGAGCAGATATGCGGCGGAGCCTAGAGCCCCGGTGCAGTCCTGGTGGAGGTGGGGCTACTCGTAGCAGCAGTACACAGGGATGTTCGAGCAGCAGCAGCACGCGAGATTCTGCTGCAGCTGCAGCAGCAGGCAAAGGCAGCAGCTGCCGGAGCAACAGCCGCAGTAGCGGCAGCTCCATCGCATGCAGCAGCGGCATCAGAGGACGCGGGAGGTGTACAGCTTCAGGAGGATCTGGAGGTGCCAGCGGCCCCACGGCGGACCTGGGCTTGAGGCCCTTAGGATCCTGCGGGATCGGTGGGATCGTCTCCGCAGACGCTGCAGAGGCAGTTGTAATTAACAGCAATGATCTATGGGCTCACCAGCAAACAGGGACAAGGGGCAAGAAAGAAAAAGCTCTAAAATTAAAGAGGGAAGAACAGGCGCAGCAGCTGCAAATCAAGCGAGTTCAATCGGAGCTAAAGCTACTGCATCAGCAGGACGTGCCTGATGCCCATCATAGACTCCCCACACCGCTGCAGCATCAGCTGCAGCAGCAGCTAGCTAGCAGAGACACTGGAGGGGGCCCCTCCCAAGAGCTGCAGCATCCACAGAAACAGCCGTCAACCCCTAACGAGCTGTTGCTGCTGCAAGAGCAGCAGCAGCAGCAGCGCCATACTGGGGCCTCGTCCGGCCGTGCTACCTCGACACCCTTCGGCAGCAGCGTGCTGCCTTCCAGACAAGACTCGGAGGACCCGCAGCAGCTGCAGCAGCAGCAGCAGATGCAGCAACATTTGCAGCAACAACTGAGTCAGCACCTGCAGCAGCAGCTTCAGCAACAGCTGCAGCAGCAGCAGCAAGATCCCCTACAAGCAAGAGAAAGAGGAAGCGCAGGAGAAGGGTCGGAAGGAGACCGCATGCAAACTGCAGAGCCACAGACAGAGGCTGGAGCTGGGGAAGAAGAGGAGGAGCACGAAGATGATGATCCTCACCAGCATGAGGTTTGCTGCTGCTGCTCTTGTTGTTGCTTGGTCGTTGCTTCTCTTGCCGCTGTCGCCATTCCAGCCTGCTGTAGAAAGCATCGTTGTCGTAGGAGGTTAAAGTGCTTCTCTTGCTGCTGCTGCTGCTGCTGCTGCTGCAGGTTGCCGCGGAGATTCGGTTGAAAGAGGGCGAGGCACACCTCTTTGGGATCCGATCCCCCTGGCGAATCGTCCGTAGTCGGTTTTATGTCACAAGCGCTAGCCATGTAGAGGTGGGAACGGGAGCAGGAACTCCCTTCACCATACTGCTGCTGCTCTTGCTGCTACTGCTGCTATTGTTGTTGCTGCTGCTTCCGCCGCTAATGCCGTTTTACAACGTTGGCCTGCAGCCGCTGGATGCTGGTGTCTGAGCACCCCAGACGTTGCAGCAGACTTGTACGCAAACTCGTGTCTCTAGGATCCGAATGACATGTTCATACTGCTGCTGCTGCGTTTGCTGCTGCTATTGGGTGTGCTGCAGGCGCTGCTCAATGTCCTTCTCCTGAGCCATCAAGCAGTGGCGTGTAACCCTAGCGGTGCTGCGCAAGCTGAAGCGATTAACAGGCAGGCAGGAAAGGCTGCAGCAGCAGCAGCAGCAGCGAGCAGCAGCGAGAGCCCTGAGGGGGCTTCAAATTCGAAAGCTGGGAAGGGCGAGGATACAAAAGATAATTTCAGGCCCATCTTCGACGGCGACCTTCGGGTATAACTTGTGTAATGTATTTTTGTCTCCTCGTTACCCTTGCCGTTTGTCTCTTTTGCCAGTGTCTCCATCTGGTCCCTTTTCGTAAACGCTGCTCCATCGTTATCTCCCTTATCTGCTCTACGCCTGAGCGGGGGGACCAGTGCTGTCGCTAGCTAGCTAGCTAAGGTTTTATCTCCTTCTTTCTTTCCCTTCAGCATTTCGATTGCTCTTGTCCCCTCGTGCACCTCCTTGTGTCTCCTTGTATTTCTTTTGTCCATTTGCTGTCTTCACAGGAGTGGCTTGGGCAGTGCGAGCTGCACTATCTCTCCCACATTGTCTTTAGAGTATGGGAGAGGAGGAAAGCCAAGCCCACACCAGCGGCCCCCGGTGCTCAAGACCAGCAACAGCAACAGCAGCAGCAAGACGAAAAGGGGCGGTATCGTCTCGAAATATTTTTCAGCACGGGGGCCCGCGATGGCTTTGGGGAGAACTTTTTCCTCTTGGAGCGAAAGGCGAGGCAGCAGCAGCAACAACAGCAGCAGCGGCAGCAGCAACAACGGCAGCAGACAGCACCTGCTCCCGCGCCGAGTGCTCGTTCTCAGCTTTGGCGTGAGGTACATCAGCAGGAGGAGGACGAAGCCCGCTCCCATTCACTAGAGGCCGTGGGTGTCTCCTCGGAGGTACCGGTAACTCCTCCTGCTGCTGCAGAGGAGACAGGTCCTCGTCCTTGTGGAGACTGCCCAACAGCAGACGGTGGCGGTAACTGTCCCCGCTGCCTCAAGCGGGAGAAACAGCCAGCAGGCCCAGGCAACAGCAGCAGCACCAACAATAACACTAGCAGCACCAGCAGCAGCAGCGGTCAAGCGAGGAGTGCCTGCTTCTGTAGGCCTCCTTACAGCAACAGGGTGCCCCCTTACTGTGAGATTGCTCCTCTCCTTCCTCTTGGCCGTTCTGTCGACGTCGCCGACTTCGATGCCCTGATGACCGAAGTAACCCCGCACTTTTCTTTAAAAAGAACTGAACAATAAAACGGCACACGGGAACCCTCGAAATGTCCTAAACCTTCAAAATAGCTGTCATCTAGGGGGCCCCACGAGGCCTTTATAAGAGCCCTTAATGACCCCTCTACGGGCCCTTTAGGGGCGAGATCCCCCTTAGTGGCATGCAGCTCCCCACTTTGCGGTGTATAGGGTTGTTTAAGGTTTTGGTGGGGGGTGGCGTTTTCATTTTTGCTTTTTTACGGGCAATAGGTTGGAGTGTCTATCTCCTTTTGCATGCATTTAGACTTTAGAAAATTCAAGTTGCATGCATTTTTGGTGTATGCGCAGGTGCTCCGCCGCTACGGAGACGCTGGCCCACAGAGAGGCCGCCCCGAGAAGCCAAAGGCGCAGCAAAGCTGAGGGTTGATCCGAATAGCCTAAGCTCTAAACCCGAAAACTTGCAGCAGCCACACAAGGGAACACTCTGGCCACCTGTCTTTCTTGCATCTTCTGCGGAGGCGAAAACCTCCAAGGGCCCGGTATACGGGTGCGTAGGAGGGGAGCGGCAGCTTATTTTGCAACAGCTGATGGTGCAGCTGCTACAGCTCCACCAGCAACAATGTGGACGCCGTCACTTTGTCTCCTGTCTCCAGGACTGTCCTCGTTTGAGAGGCTGGAGGCTACAGAGGCCGTTGGCGGTCTCCTAACTTTATCTGTTTGGGTGCACATGCAGACACCCAAGTAATATCTGCATGCATGCAGTACATCTGTGGGAACAACATACATCCCTATAGCCACTGTGGGAGGAGCGGGGGGCGCCAAAAGGTGCCAGATGCTTCGGCCCTAGTTAGCAGTCAGCCAGCTAGCTACTAAGCTAGTCACCGAGCTAGCTACATAGCAAACTAGCAATCTAGCTACATAGCTAACTGCCCATCTAGCTACCCTACAATCTACCCATCTAGTTACCAAGCTGGCTACCCAGCTAGCCGTACAGCAAGCTACCAAGCTAGCTAGTGGGGTACGCAGTTAGCTAGTTGCAGCCTGTCGCGTAGTTAGACGCGCATGCAGCTTGAATATGGAGGGGCCCCATTTATGGGTCTGAGGAATTTGGGCTTGTCTCCCTGACAGAAGGAGGAGACAGTATGGGAGGAGACACTGGAGGCTAGCCGTTGTATGAAACCAAATACTTTGCAGCAGCAGTGGTGTGGAGGGGCCACAGATGTCTCCGCTTTAGTGTTCTAAAGTGGCTGTCTCTTGTCTCATGTTTGTATACCTGTCTGTGTTTTGGGGATTTGGGTTTAGGGCATATTAGGGTTTAGTGGTTTGGGTTTGGGCCCTCTCTTAGGGTGTCTGTTTGCAGTCAAAAAACAGTCTTCCTCATTTGCCGTCTGTCTGGCTGCTGCCTGCCGTCACACACTGCGTTTGCTGCAGCCAAGGGACCCCCAGCTGCTGCGGAGCCAGGCACCAGCACGCAGGGAGCTGTTGCCAGCATGGGAGCAGCGGGAGTTGGGATTGGCTCCTTGGGAATTGTCGCAGGAACGTTGGGGTCTCGGGAAGTAATCGCGTCGTAGAAACCCCGAGGCAAGCTCGCAGGTGTTGCTGTTGTTGCTGCTTGTGATGCACGACCGACTGCAGGCAGGGTGTTAAACTGCTGCTGCTGCTGCGGCTGGATGAGGCTTGTGGGGAGCCAGCGCGGAGTATCCTGCATCTGCATGCAAACAAAGGTTGGGGGTTGAGTGGTCTTGAACTCGACAACGGGAGCAAAGGGAGTCACTGCCTTTAGCTGTTGCTGCTGCAGCACTTGTGGGGTGGCACTTCGCTGCTGCGATCTGTTGAATATTCCGCGGTGTTGAGAGCGACGCTGCTGTAGCTCCTGCTGCTGTCTCTGCAGTTGCTGCCGTTGCAGTTGCTGCTGTTGCAGCTGCTGCTGATGTAGCTGCTGCTGCTGCAACTGCTGCTGCTGCTGCAACTGCAGCTGCTGCTGCAACTGATGTTGTTGCTGCTTCAACAATTTCTGCTGCTGCTGGAAAGCTCTCTGGTGCTGTAATAATCGTCGGTATTGTTCGTGCTGCTGCTGATGAAGCTGTGTCTGCCTCTGCTGCAGCGAGAGCACCCTCTCCTCTAGCATCTGGCGAGCGGTTCTCTCAGCTGCCGCTGTTCCTACTGCTGCTACTGCATAGGAATTGGCTCCAGCTGCGGCAGGCAGCTGCAGGTTCTTCCCTGGCTCGGGCCCCGCGTCGGCTCTGCTGTAAACTGGAGGAGGTGCTGACTGTAGGGGCCCCAAAACCCCTTCTGTGGGGGGGCCCTGCACCCCAGCACTGTCTCCTTGGTGCTGCAGCAGAGGCTGCATGTATCCGCGGGAACGTTGGGACAGTGGACCGCCTAACGGGGTGTTCTTGGGCTGCAAAGCCGTTTGTTGCTGCAGCTGCAGCCTCTGCTGCGTCTGCGGCTGCTGCAGCCGTTGCACATGAGAAGGAGGGTTGCCAGCAGAATCAGTGTATTTTATGTCGCTGCAGTTGCTGCTGCACCTGAATTTGCTGCTGCAGCTGCAACTGCCAGTGCAGGTGCAGCAGACGCTGCAGCCGCTGCTGAGGCTGGAGAGGGTGGCGCTGTCCCCCGCTGCAGGTTGCAGACAATCGACGCCTGGTTGGTGCAGCACAGGTTGCGAGTGAAGTGCTGTAGCATCAGGGGCCCTTGCAGGAGGGTCTCCAAGGGGCCTGTACGGCTTCTGTATTGCACCATAGACGAATCGAGACGTCTTTAAAGATGGTGCTCCTACTGGTCTGCTTGGCAAAGCAGAATGTGAAGCGCGTTGTTGTTGCTGCGGCTGCTGCTGCTGGGGATGGTGATGGTGATGATGATGGTGATGATGATGATGAGCTTGACCATAGGATTGGAGATTATATCGGTTGTACTCCTGCTGCCGCTGCTGGGGCTGTTGCTGCGGCTGCTGTTGCAGCTGCGGCTGCTGTGGCGGCTGCAGCTGCTGCTGGTGTTGCTGCTGCTGGTGCGGTTTCTGAAGCTGTTGCTTCTCTTGCCGTTGATGATGATGGGGGGCCTGGAGATGATGGGGATGATAGTGTTGATGATTCTGCTGCTGCGGCTGCTGCGGTGGCGGCTGAGGTGGCTGCAGCTGCTGCCGCTGCTGCTGTTGTTGTTGATGTTGCAGCGGCTGCTGTTGTTGTTGTTGCGCCTGCTGTTGCTGCTGTTGAGCCTGCTGCTGCTGTTGTTGCTGCTGTTGTTGTTGCGGCTGCGGCTGGTGCTCCTGCTCCTGCTGTTGCGGCTGCTGCTGACTAGGATTTTGCTGGTGGAGTAGGAAACGATGGGGATGGTTGTGGTGATGCTGCTGGCGCTGATGTTTTTCCTTATTGTGCCTATCTTCCTTTTGCTGTTGCTGCTGCAGCTGCTGTTCGTCGAGTGGCAGTGGCTGCGGTTGCTGCTGTAGCTGTTGCTGTTGCTGTTGCAGCGGTTGCTGCTGCTGTTGCTGCGGATGCTGCCCTTGCACTTGGAGGTGCTGCTGTTGCTGTTCGCCCGTGTTCGCCTTCCCGCTTTCTGTCGTTTGCTGTGGTTGTTGTTGTTGATGCTTGTGCTTAGGTGTAAGTGGCTTAGGTTCTTTGGCTGGAGAGTGCAGACATCTCCCGGGGCTCCACGGCCTGCTGCGGCCCCTCCCTTTAGAGGGAGATCCAGCAGCAGCTGTTGCAGCTTCATCTGTCGCCTGCTGCTTCTGCTGCTGCTCATCTCTTTGGCTATCTGCTGGCTGAGATGTTGCCCCTGTTACTGCTGCTGCTCCTGCTGCTGGCTGCGGCGGGAGCAGCTTCTGTGGAGATGCAGGGGGCAGCTGCTCATCTCCACAGACTGCGGGGGGACTGCCAGTGTAGGACGCTGCGGGAAGAGACGGCAGGGCCTCCGGACGCTTCGTCGAAGTTCCTTGGTTGCTGCTGCTGCTGCTCTTGTTGTTGCTGTTGCTGTTGCAGGTGCTTTGCCTGTTGTTGCAGTCCCCTGCAAACTTTAGACCTGTTTGTGGCTTGTTAGTGGGAGTGGCTAAGGGTCCTAATCTCTGCTCTGTCTGCTGCATATCTTCTGCACCAGTCTCACAAATCAAACACCAGTGATCGCTGCTGCCGCAGCTGCTGCTGCTGCTGCTGCTTGGCGCCTCGCTGAGGATCTGTTCATAGCATCCGCTGCTCCCCACCGGTGGGGCCCAGAAGGACGCTGTGTCCTCAAGGGCATCGCGAACAGGCAACCCACATAAGCACCCCCCTGTCGTGCTGCTTCTGTTGTTGGTGCTGTGGGGAGCCACCAACTGATGGATGCTTGGAGACACTTCTGCAACCGCGTCAGGCTGCAGCAGGAAAACTGGCCGCTGCTGCAACGGTTGCAGTATTTGCTCCTGCTGCATCTGTTGCTGCAATATTTGTTGCTGCTGCGTTTGCTGTTGCGGCATTTGTTCCTGCTGAATTTGCTGCTGCGCCATTTGCTGTTGCTGCAGTTCTTGCTGATGCGTTTGAGGCTGCTGCTGCTGCGGGCATCCTGAAGAATACAGCAGCAGGAGGGGCCTCGGACTGACAGTTCCAAGGGGCTGCAGCAGAAAAGAGCTCGAAGCAAAAGCACCGCTGGCTAGCTGCTGGGGATCGGCCAAACAGCTGCTAGCTAGCTGAGGAGCAGCGGCCAACAAGGGCAGACTCTGCTGAAGCAGCATTTGCGGTTGCTGTTGCTGCTGCTCTTGCTGCTGTTGCGGCGTCTGCTTCTGCTGCCCCTGATGCAGGGCTAGAGGCCCAAGTGGCAACATAGGAGAGGGGAAGGGCTTTCCTGCCGCCTGCTCGCACCTTTCTGCCGGTTGTGGGGATTGGAGCTGCTGCGTCAGTTGCTGCTGTTGCTGCTTCTGATGCTGTGTATCTGCTTTTGTTGCAGAGGTGTGCGCTTTGCTGTCTCCAGAGGGCTGCTGTTCCTGTTTGTTGCTGTTTTGGCTTGCTGCCTTCTTTCTACCTGTAGCAGCAGCAGCACCAGTTGCTACGTTCCCTTGGGTTTTACTGTCCGGCTGACTTTTCTGCTGCTGCTTCTGATGCTGTTGCTGCTGGTGCGTGTCTTCCTCCTCTCCCTCCTCCTGCTCCTCCTCCTCCTGCTCCTCCTGATCCTCCTGCTCTTCCTGCTCTTCCTGCTCCTCCTGCTCCTCCTGCTCCTCCTGCTCCTCCTGCTCCACCTCTTGCTCCAGCAGCATTTCTTGAAGCTTTTTGGGATGGACTGTCTGCCCTCTGTAAAGAAGACCTCTGCTGAGGCGCTGCTCCTGGGCAAAGCAACAAGAGAAGGATCTTCCTTTCCATCTAACGGCTCTCTCTTTCTTTTTTCCTTCTGTCGCCTCTCCCAAAGACGGGTGTAGACCTTCTGCTGCAGCGTCTCCCCCCTGCTGCTGCTGCGCCTGCCGCTTCTGCTGAAGTTGGGAGAGGGTTGCCGTGGAGCTGGAAGGCCCCCCTGTCGCCTTTTTCAGCTGCGGGTTTGTCTCCAACCTCTTGGGGGACGCCGTTTTACTGCGCGGTCTGCTGGAGGCAGCGTCAGCAGGCTTTGCTTCTGTTCCTGCTGCTCTGGTTGCTCCTGCAGTAGGAGTGACTGCTCTTCCCCTTAACGTCTTTGCTGTTCCCTTCTCTACATGTTGCTGCGTTGTCTCCACCTCTGGTTCTTCTGTTGTGTCACTACCGTCTGTGTCTATTCCACTCAAAGGACGCTGCTGCTGCTGCTGCCGCTGCTGCTGTTGGTTTTGCGTAAGACCTGCGATCCTGTCCCCCCCATGGCCGTATAGGAGGTCCCTCCGGATACTCTCCACTTGTCGTTCAAGAGACAGCGGCAGCTGAGTGGTGCTGCGCATTTGGTATTTTGATGTGTCTCCGTCTCTGCTCCATCCCTTCTCTCCTCCTCTACCTCCTTTTCTGTCTCCTCCTCTGTCTCCCTCCCCTGTTACGTGGCCCTTGGGTATGAAGCAGCTATAGGAGCGAAGGCCAACCGGGGCCCCCCCTGGAGAACCCCGTAGATGCGAGGGGGTCCTCAGGGACTCTACGGAGGTTTCCTCCGAGCCGCTGGCGTTATACACAGGCTCTTCTGTCTCCTCAGTATCTTCTCTCTGACCGGCAGCTAACCGTCCTGCTTGCCAATCAAACAACGTTTCCCCTTCATCCCCCTGCTGCTTCTCGTCCTCCTCTTGCTGCAGTAGCTGCTGTAGTCTCTGCTGCTGCTGCAAGAGTCCCCTGCTGCCCTCCTCGAAGCCCCCGAAGAAAGGAGACTGGCCTCCTCTTGCAGGGACAGACCGCATCAGGCACGTCTTTGACCGTTGCTGCTGCTGAGCGGAAACGGCTCGTTTGCTGCCGCTCCTGCAACTCTCGTCCGTTTGCTGCTGCAGCTGTTGCTGAGGGGAAAAGAAGCTGCTGCTAAGGTCCTGGTGCTGCAGCTGCGGCAAGCCTATGTGGGCGGTGTGCGAGCGTAACCGTGTCGGCCCCAGCCGCTGCTCGTTTTGCTGCTTTCCAGCGGCAGGTTCTTTCGATCCACGGTTTCCCTGTACCTCCTGCTGCTTCAGCCGGAAAAGCTGCTGCTGCTGCTGCTGTTGCAGTTGAAATAAGGGACTTTTTAAAGAGCCTTGTGAGCTTAGTGCAGAGCGGGCAGTTGCCTCTTGCCTATCCTCCACAGGAGCAACATTCTCGAGCGACAGACTTAAGCGGTGGCTCAGATAACCTGTTTTGCTTCGCGGACGCGCATTTTCTAATGCATTTGCTGCTGCTGCTGCACCTGCTGGTTGGGTGCTTCGTTGAGTTAGGGGCACTACGGAGGCGGTGAAGGCCCGCTGCCGCGCTGTTATGGCTGCATCTTTATCGAACTCAAGGCCTATTCCACCCCTCGCTAGCTGTTGCAACTGTTGCTTGTGTTGCAGGAGCTGCTGTTGCTGCTTCTTCTGTGCAGCAGCAGCTTCAAGTCCCCTCGTGCGTAGGGCTTCTAGCTCTAGTGTGTTTAATTTGAGTTGGTGGGCGAGCTCACTGAGCTGCTGGCGCTGCTGCCTGTCTTTTTCTCCCCAGGCTTCTTGTTGAGCTTGGAAGTGAGAGGCTGTGCACTGCACTTCTTGCTGCAGTTGTTGTTGCTGCAGCTGCAGCTGCCGCACGGTCTGCAGCAACTCCCGCTTCTCCTCCTCTACCCGTAGCAGGCGTTCTTTGTATCGGCACGCCTTTGCGGTGGTATCCCGCAGCAGCTTGACTAGTTCTTGCTGCTGCGGCTGCTGCAGCATCTCAGCGGCCTGCAGGGCCTCGGGCTTCAGCAGAAATGAGCTGGGCTGTTGTTGCCATGTGTCTCCTGCCTCTTCCAAGGAATCGCTACACCTGCTGCTACCTGCGAGGGATTGCAGGCGCTTCCAGTCACAAACAGCAAATTCCCCACCTGCTGTTGCTGCAACATCTGTGGCATCCCTACTGAACTGCAGCAATGCTTTTGGGGCAGCAGCAGGTGCATCAACGGCCGACGCAACACCAGCAGCAGCAGCAGTCCCTCCCTCTCTCGCATACTCCAGCCACCCCTGCCCACCCTGTGGAAGGCGTTGAAGGGTCTCCTGCTGCTCATTGAGACGGGTCGATGAAGCAGGCTTTGTTGCTGTTGACGTGCAGCTGCTGTCTCTTGCAGCACAGTCTTCGTTCCCTACCGATCCGCCGTTGCTGCCAGCGGCTGAACCGCCCTCATTAGCCTCCCTCCCTGTTGCATGCACCGAAGCAGGACGAACAAACGGAGTTCCAACATCCCCTATATCTCCGTGTGTTGCTGCTGCTGCTGCTGCCGCCGCTGCTGCTGCTCCTCCTGCATCTACTACCGATGGGAAAGGAGCGAAGCAGACTTCCTCGGTATCGTGGCCTCTTTGGGATAGCTGCTCCAGTTTCGACTGTCTCTCCAGCTCAAGCTGCAGCTGCAGAACCTCCTGCAGCGTTTTAATCTCTGCGTGGGGGGACTCTTCAGCGCTGGGTTCAGCGGCATCGGTTTGCAGTCCCCCTTGTTCGTTCTCATCCTGTTGCAGAGCCATGGGCCTTACCTTGCTGTGGATCACCCTAGCTAGAAGCAGCGGCCCAAATCCAGTAACCTCAACACTTTGGCTAGCTAAAGATCTATCTGGCTAGCTAGCTACCTTACTAAATACTGAGGTGGTGAACAGCTAGCTTCAACGGCTGCATCAATCCTAAAGAGCATCTCGCTGCCCCACGGGCCTTTCTCTACAGGAGCATGGGAGCCCAGGTATCTAACCAGGGCCCCACAGGTAGCGGATGCATGCATGCATGCAGGCGTGCATGCACTTCGTTACGAGTGGCTGCCGCGGCGCAGCCTCTGTATGCGTGAGTGAGCCACAATGCTGCAAGGCAAGCGGGCATCAAGCAGTCCGGTAGCCCCTGTATTTGCTCCGAAGGAGCTGCAGCAACTCAACTTCTGTCTCAGGACTTTGTTGCCCTCTCCTGTGGCTGATGGCACTCCAGCAAGGAGTGGATGCTTCGCCGCTACTTCACGGCCACGCCTGTGACGGCAGCCTAGTATCCTCGCTTCTGCAACAAGAGGCAGCATCAAGTGCATGCACCCGTTGCAGCTACTGTGTATGTACACTCCAGCGCCTCGCGTACAGCCCCCGGCAGCCCGTCGGCAGCAGCCCCATGCTTTCTACAGAGAAGCCCTTCTGGGAGTCTCCTGCCATCCTCTGCTTTTTTAAATGGCTTATAGTTGAATTTATTTAATATTTAAACTGGTTATTTCACAAAGAACGATTAATATACGCAGCAGTACACGCCCCGACAACAAACTGCATGCTGCGCCGCACGGGCTGCGGCTGCTCGGGGTCCTCGGAGTCTTTAGCTAGCAAGAGAAGAAGAGGGCTTCTTAATGTTTGTTTGATATGTATTTGATTTTCCTTTAAAACAAACGAATACATAAAATGCTGAAGTGGTTAATATTAATCTCCTAAAAGTTGAATTGAACACGGCAGCTGCATAGCGCGATTGGAGCCGAGTCCACGACTTGTCGGTACACATGAGCTTATATCGATAACCTTTAAAGGGTTCTGCTGACCTTGAGCTTCTATTCAATTCAAGTAAATTCATTTCTTCTTTTTTTCACTGCCAAGAACTCAAACCAACTCCTTGCATGCCCCACCTTCGCAGGCATCCCTCGCCGGAACCCATCGGTTGTCCGAATTGGCTGCTGTTATACCTCTCTACATGTCCTTCTGGGGCCCTTCGTCGAATTATTTGAAGGTATTTGTTGGGGTGTACGTACACCGCAGACGACGACCGGTTGGATTGCTTGGAGACACCCCTGGTGGGTGCAAGGGCCCCCTTCTCCGCAACAGCAGACGCAGCAGAAGCAACGAGGAGAGCTGTAGCGCAAACTCCATCAATATTAGAAATCCAGACGAGCTCAGCTGCAGCTGCAGCTGCAGCAGCAACATCAACTGAAAACTGCAGCATCAGCAGCAGGTGCAGCAGCAGCAGCAGGAGGGGGTTGCTACTGCTGGCTAGCTTTTTCTCTCTTATAGCTGATGGCCTTCTCGGGTATATTGGGGGTTTTACGCCGAGTTAATAGACAGCTAGTTGTACGTTGTTCGGGTTCTTGTGTTTGGGGGCTGCTGCTGCTGCTGCTGACGGTCTTCTTGTGGAGTGTCACAGCCCTGCTCCTACAGCTGCTGTTCCTCGCCAACTTTCCTCGTCCTCTCTTCTCAACATTAGTTCAAAGCTCCTGTCCTGCTATCTTCTTGCTGCTGCCTGCTGCTGCTGCGCTGCGCAGCAGCAGCGCATGGAGGCTGTGCGGTGACAAGCATGGCCTCAGGGCCCCCATCTGGCAGGTTGCCTTCGCTGGATTCCTAGGTACTTTAAGTGCTGCTGCTCCTGCTCCTGCTAGTGATGTTGCTGCTGTAAATGCCGCAGATTTGCTGTTTCTGCCACCTATTAGACTTTCGTAGGGATAGCCTTTCGGTTGTTTGCTGTTGTTGCTGATGTGCTTCCTCCAGCAAAGGATGCCGAAGTGTTAACCGTTGACAGCTGCCTGCGGCTGCTGCAGCAGCAGCGGCAGAGGCAGCAGCAGCAGCGACAGAAACAGCAGCAGGCAGGCGGACTTCTAGCTCCTGCTGTCCGCAGGAGACGTAAACTTCGCCGCCTGCTGCGGTTGCTGCTGCGGCCTTTTTGGGGTTTTGCTGCTGGAGCCAGGGATCTTCCTGCCCCAGCAACAGCAACAAATGTCGTTGCTGCTGCTTCACCTGCAACAGCATCTGCACCGTCAGCAGCATCTCCGCCCATAGCTATAAGCCCTACTGCTGCTGCGCTGCGGCAAAGGCAGCAATCAGCGGAGACAGCAGAAGGGGAAGACACCGGAAGAATTGCCTCTTCTAGGCCCCCATGCTCAAGCCCCACAGGCAGCCACACGGCTGCCAGCTCTCACTATGGGGCTCAAGCAGCAGCAGGAGCAGCAGGAACAGTGGGTGCTGCTGCTGCTGCTGCTGCTGCGCTGCCCACATCCCCCCTCGCAATGAACCGTCGACCTAATGGAGCAGAGGCGCTCAGCAGCAGCATGAATGGTTGCAGCAGCACCGGCAGCTGCAGCAGCAGTAACGGCAGCAGTAGCAGTCTTGTCTGCGGCGACAGTAGTCGCCTTCATTCCGCGTCAGCTGCAGCCACAGCAACAGCAACAACAGGTGAGATGTGGGATCAAGAGGCGGAGGACACGGAAAGTTTGGCTGCCAAAGAGTTGAAGATAAGAATGAGCAGCCTTAAGAGTACCCTTCCACTTACTGCCCTCTGGTTAGGTAAGGAGGCTCCTGTTGCGTCAGCAGCAGCTGCTGCTGTCCCTGCTGCTGTTGGCGTCGTTGCTCATGCTGCCGCTACTGCTGCTCTGTTGGGCCCATGTCGGTGGTGATGGTGGTGGCCCGTAAGGTTCCGCTGCTGTTGTTGATGTGCTGCAGTTGCGCAGCTTGCGTACGACGCGAGTTTGACGGCGCTGACATTGACATCGAATTCTTTGATTCAAAGTACTTCCGTCTTTCTTTCATATTTCTTGGCTGTTGTATTTTTAAAGCAAAGCCCTCAGAAGGCTGTCTGTGTGTGGCTGGTGGTACTAGCGGGTGGGGTCGCTCTTATCTCTTCCCACGTTCCTACGCCACCAGAGCCTGCTGCTCCTGCGCTCCCTGCTGCTGATGCGGCTGTTCATGTTACTGCTGGCGCCCCAACCCAGATACACACTCTTGCTGCTCTCGATGGTGCTGTTGCGGCTCCACTTCCGGCTGGTGCTACTGCCGCTACAGCTCCAGCAGCAGCCAACCCAGCAGAACCGGCTAGTGCTGCCACAGATCAGCTGCAACAACACACAGCTCTGCTTCCCGCAGGAGGTGGAAGCCCAGCAGCACCAGCAGCAGTAGCAGCTTTAAGTAGGCACAAAAACTCACACAACACAGGGGGCCCCTCAGCCCCAGGAGGAGAGGCAGCCGCTGAGGCGACGGCTACTGCTGTTGCTGGAGTGAATACTGCAGCAAATGCAGCACAATGGAAACCTTCCCGAGCTGCCGCTGCAATAACTGCAGCTCCAGCAACTGCAGCCGCAGCAACTGCAGCTCACGAAGACATGAAAGGGAGCGGTTCTGTCCCAGCAACGGCAGCAGCAACAGGAACGACTGACGTGGCAGAAGACGTTGGAACTAGAGAAGCAGCAGCAACAGCAGCAAGAGGAGGGCACAGAGAGAGCGAGGCTGCAGACAGCCTCGTGGGGTATTTGCTTGCCCTGCTAGCTGCTGCTGCATATGCGCTGCATACCACCGCCCTGAAGGCTCAGGAGACACTTGGGGGGAACTTTGATGTCGACCTCATCTATGGGTGCTGTCTCCTTTCTCTGCTTAAGTTGTTGCTGGCGTTGCTGTTGACGTTGCTTCTGGAGTTGTGCTTGGTGGTTGCCTCTCTTGCTGCTGCTGCTGAATTCGCCACTGTGCTCTTCTTTTCAGTTTCACCTCCTTTTTTTCGTATCCTGTCCCGGTGGCTACTTTGTTCGTTGTTTATTCTGTTTGTTTGTTTTGTTGGTATTGCTGCCGTGTTGTATTGTGTGTGCCCAAGTATAACTGCTTCTGTTGCTACTGTTGCAGTTGCTGCTGCTGCTTCCGATTCTGATGTTTCAGAAAGAGATAGGAGGTAGTGATGCTTCTGCGTACGTTTGTTCGTAGGTTGATGGGCTTGTGGGTGCTGCTGATGCTGCCGCTGCTGACGCTGCTGCTGCACGTGCTGCAGGTAGAAGCATTTATGTGGCCGGATGCTCTCTCGTGGATTGTTCTGCTTCTCTGCGGTCTCGTAGGCACAGCCTTCGCAGACATCTGTTGGGGTCCGCCTAGCATGCACCTAGCTGGCTAGAAAGTTAGTTTGCCTATGTAGCTAGCTGGCTATTTAGCAGGCTAACTAGCTACGTGGGGCGGGTAGCCAGCCTGCGAACCTGGGCAGTCAGCCAGCTAGCTGGACCGGCTAGGTAGATATGTAACTAGTCTAAATAGGTCTAGCTGACTAGCTACGTGCGTTAGCTTGCTACCTAGCTATGTGTGTTTGTCCATTTGTTGTTGGTTCCCTTGTGTGAGTGGTGAAGAGGAGGCCTTGTTTTGGTGTGTTTGCGCAGGTCGTGCTGTCTTCCTGCTTAACCCCGTTGTGGCGACTGCGGCATCAAATGTCCAAATTCCCATTTCGATGCTTCTCGATGCCTTCATCTTTGGCCGCAGGTAAATGATCTGACAGCTGTAACAAAAACAGCAGCAGCAGCAGTAATAGTAGCAGCAAAGAGTATGATGACTCTATCCCTTCAGCTCTTCCTGTTTTGGTAAGTAGCAGTGTACGGAAATATGCAATAACGGGCATAAGATCTCGAGACGGCTCACGCGTTTTTTGGTGCTCTTGCTCCTGCTGCTGCTGTTTGCAGCTTTAATTGTTGGTATTTTGTGGGAACGATGGCTGTGGTAGCCGCGGTGTTGGCTGTAACTCTTATAACGGCAGACAAGAGACCGCAGCACAACAAGACAGTGAGCGGGAGGCACCTACACCTACATATGGCACCTGTATAGGGGGTGAGGTTTAGGGCTTTGTGGGTTTAGGGTTTATTCCTCAGGACAATGAGGTTTTGTCTCCTTTCGCGTCGATAGAGAGTTCGGCAAAGCCTAACCTACCTGCACCTGCTGCTGTTGCTGCTGCTGCTTTTTCTTCTGATTGCTGCTGCAGAGCCCAGCTCCCTACTCCGCCGTCTCAGACTTCCGTAGCAGCGGGCCGTTGCAGGTATGAGGATAATTTAAATACCGCCAGCAACTCACTTATACCGTGTCAGCCATCGATTAGCAGCAGCTGCTGCTGCTAATGCAGCCGGTGTTTCGGCCGCGGATGCTGCAACAACAACAACAACAACGACAACAACAACAACAACAACAACAACAACAACAACAACAGCAACAGCTATTGTTGCCGCAACCTGGTGCAACAACGGCAACAACAGTACTATTTGTGGATTTTGTGGCTTCCTTACGGGGGAGGTCCCCAGGGAATGCAGAAAACCAAAAACAGTTGACTGCATGCAGTCGAACGTGTTGCAGTCACTGCATCCAGCTAGCGGGGTAACCCTCCTGGAGGAGGGTCTACTCTACTGTGCAGCGGTGTGTGTACACGGCGGAAGCTGCTGCGGTGCATTTACACCGTGGAAGCTGCTTAGGTGTATGTACACCTTGGAGGCTATAGCGGTGTATACAGACGACACAAATGCGGGACACCGAACACTTGACGAAGTTAACTATGTTGGCATGTGCACTCGTGCAATCAAATTTAATAGGGAAAGAAATACAAGGGACAACAAGGGTTAAGAGAAACAATCCAGTCCAGTTCGGAAAACGAAGGACAAATATAACGCAACAAAAGTAAAATGTACGCATAATAGATGAAGCCGTAGTAATGCTGCACGTTTATATGAAATAATATATTTAGTATTTCCATATATAGATCTCTAATTATAGAGAGGTTACAGACTCTGCCCGTATCAAAAGAGGGCCGCTTTAAGCCTAATTTCACTACTTTATCCCTATGAAACGGGTTTAGGGATTTAGCACAAATGAGAGCTTCCGATAAGGACGGAAACAGTTGTGCTAAAAGTGTTGGCTACTTATTCTGTCATGTTGAGACACATGCTCGGCATGAGTTTCCGCATTGTATTCTCTACTAGAGAGGCGGGGAATCTGCGGATGCACTGCGGCGTACAGCCACCGCAACATCCAGTTGATAGCAGAAAGGTGTCTGCCTCTCTATCTGAAGCTTGCATACACTGCTTCCGCTTCTGCACATGGAGAAGAGCAACCGGAGAACCCCCAGATTCTAAGCCCTACTTGTGGATTCTTAAACCCTAGACCCTACCTATGCGCTCCTAATCCCTACACCGCACTAAGAATTCTTGGAAACAATAGCGTGCACGTGCAGCGAGCGGATTCCATGCAGTACGTGTGCGCTTCTTCCTCTGTCTTTTATTGATGTAAGATAAAATGCAAACCCTACATTTAAATACATAGTGTCTCTGGAGTCTCGGGCAGTCACCTCACCGGCGACTGCCTCCCGCAAGCAAAGTTTACGCATGCACGCATCTCTGCACGCAGGCATCTGTCAATTGTTGGGGCTTGCATGCAATTATGCATGCAATTCTGTCCCTCTGTAGGGGATTATTTCTTTTTTTTCTGGCGTTTGATTGCATCGGCGTGAGCGGCCTTCAGGTCAAGCAACAAATCTTCCACCCCTCCGCTTTTCCCTCCTTCTGCAATTTGCAGCAAATCCTGCTCCCACACACAGAGAGCAACAGCCCCAGATGCACAAGCGACTTTATCAACACTTTCAGGGTATCAAATCGTTAAAGGGGTCAGCCGGTTAGCAACACCAGCAGCCGTAGCAGCAGCACTTGCAGCTCGTGGTTTAGTACCTGTGGCATCGCGAGAACTCTTTGGGTGTCATGGACCTCTTTATCTGTCCCTTGAACAAACCGCAGCAGCAAACTCGCCCAGCATCTGCAGTCTCCCTTGGAGTGTTTGTTTCCTCCTCGTGAAGCCTGTCTCTCAAGGCCCTCCGCTGCAAAAAACCCTTTGCTGCATGCCGCACAAAGAGCGAAGGAGCTGCAGCACCTCTTTAGAACTAATGCATGCAGCTCTTCGTAAGAGAACAGCAGCGGGGATGTCCGAAAGCCCCAAGGCTGCAGACGCAGCAGCCTGAAAAAGCGCATGCAAGCATACAACAATGCACAACGCCATTAGAACTTTTGGCTGTGCTACAACCAGCAATTCTCTGCTTTGCTGCTGCGGAAGGCCTTACTGCTGCTGCGTGCTGCTCCCGTGCCTATCTCGTTAGTGGCAGACGTGTTCAGCAGCAGCATGCAACGAAAATAATGCTGCAAAAGCAAAGAGCTGCTCTAAGCAAGATTAACAAAGCTCCGCCTAGTTTGGGGCCAGGGGCTGACCTGCAGCTGTCCATCCCGTCCGCGTTGCAGTGGACGTACATATCTACTGCGTACAGCGGAGGCAGCAGCTGCTGCTGCTGTTGCTGATGCAGATTCTGCTTTTGCTGCTGCACAAACCGCCACACTGCCCGCCGTAGCCGCTGCCGGCAAGAAGCCCGTGCAGACAACTCAGGGATGCACTCTGACAACCACAACTGGCTCGCCCCTGCATCCCGCAAACGCAGCAGCTGCAGCAGCAGCAGCAGCATTAAGGAGGATAAACTGCGTCATGGCGCTCGTTTCTGCAGTTGGATGTTCGACGACGGACAAAGCTAATTGTCATCAGGCTGCTCCGTGGTTGTGGGGTGTATGCTGAGGAAAGGAGGTGGGAACGTTAGGGGAAACAAGAAAGACACGCACCGATGGGGACGCCACCAGCAACAAACACCCGAAATTCTTTCCCTTTGTGTAGCTCCTCGGTCTCCAAAAGCGTCAGACAAGGAGGTACGCACAATGACACGTCCACGCCTGTGGTATTCTGCTGCTGCTGTTGCTGCTGCTGCTGAATAGACTGCTGTTGGCCGTCCTTGGGCTCTGACAACTGCAGCAGCTGCTGATGCTGCAGGTGATCGTACAGGCCAGGGCGAGCAGCGAGACGCCTGAGGCGATATCGTGGCAGTTGCTGCTGACGAGAGCAAGCGGAGAATTCGGTGGGAGATACCACGTCTGCACAGTCCTGCAAGTGTTGCTGCGAGGCATCTGCAGCAGCAGCAGACGCATGTAGCAACAGAAGCACTTCCCATGGTTCTGTGCATGCAAAGGCGAGGAGGCTGCGGGCGGAGGCCGCCTGAGATGTAGCAGAATCAGAAGAGTTGTTTTTCGCTCCTGCTGCAATCCAAGCAGCATCATCTAGAGAGTTGCTGTTTAAAAGGGGCGTTACGCGGCCCCCCGCCCGTGGGATGCATGCAGACAAACACTTCAGTAGACCTGACACTGCAACATCTGCTGCAGAACCAGAGTGTCCCTTCAAGGGAGCAGCAGAAAATGTTGCTGTGTTTCCTCCTGTACGCAGTTGCTCGTCTGTTGCGGGGGAAGAGGCAATTGGCGCTGCTGCTGCTGTTGGCATTTCTCCTGCTGCTGATGGCAGTTCTGCTGTTGCTTCTGAGATTACTGCTGCTGCTGGTAGTGGTAGTTCTGATGCTGCTGCTGCGTCTGCTGGTGGGGGTAAGGGATCTGACGAGGGCGAGTTAAGGGTTGAGGTGTCTGGGGAAGAGGCCGAGGAAGGTAACTCGGAGAGCCAGGGACTGCCGTCGCTGGACGGCTCAGGGGAGCGCCAATCCTAATGAGACAAAGACACACAAAGGAAATACAAAGGAGACACAAAGGAGACACGTCAGCGATCTAAACGACAAGAACAGGAGACAAGGAAAGTTAGTAAACTAGACTAGTGCAGCCCCTCTGGCAACAAATAGGAGAGGTCAGTGATACAAATAATAAGAGCAACGTAGACAAACGGTGGCGAATTGTACGAGAAACGGACGTTACGGACAAGAGAGGCAGTAGAAGCAAAGAAGGGGCAGATGAGACAGCGACGAGCTCGAAGGCCATAAAGCAAAGGTACAAAAGCAGGAAGAAGAGGCAGAGAAGGCAGTTGAGGGACAGCAAACAACCGCAACCAAACACAAAGAAGACAGCAACACACAACACTAGGCAACTGCCCCTCAAGAATTGCAAACTTAAGCAAAGGAGAACAAACCTCGGTAAAACGAAGCAGACGCCCAGAGTCTGCGCGTTTGCTGCTGCTGCTGCTACTGCTGCTGCTACTGGTGTTGCTATGGGGTGGAATGCGGAGGTCGTCGCGGGTCACAGCCTCCAGAACAGCTGGGGGCAACAGGATGCAGCAGCAACGCAAACAAGAGCACCTGCAGCTTGCGGAGACAGCCACAATGGCGTTGTCGCCTCCCTCTGAAACGTTAGTTTCTGCATCACTCCTACATAAACAGCCACTGCTGCTGCTGCTGCTGCAGGTGCTATTCTCAACGTTACTTCCTCTTTTGTCGTCTTTGCTGCTGCCGCTGTTCCTGCTGCCGCTGTTGCTGCTGCAACTGGAAGGACCTATAGATCCTTGGAAGGCGAGGGTTCGTTTTGCTTTGCAGTTGCCGCAGAAGGAAACAGACAGCCGCCAATGGGCAAAGTCGCATGCAGCCGCGTCCACAGCCATGCATGCGTCTGAAGGGGAGCGACACAAACGCAAAACCCTAAACCCTACGCCATAAACCATAAACCCCGATCCGCGCGCCTCAACGTTAGCCCCGCAAGATAAAAAGAAAGGAGAAGGAAGGGCACAGACAGAGAACACAAAAGGGACAGCATCTTCGAATAACGGGACGGGGAAGGCAGATACTGACGGGGGCAAGAGACGGCGCGCAGCGACAGAGACGCATGGAGACAAGGAACAGCAGCAAAAACGGCAAACGGACAGCTTCGAGAAACAGCAATAAGAGCAGCAGCGGCAGCAACAGCAAAGCAGTGTCACGACCAGCAACAGGTACAGCAGGAATAGCATCACAGCAGGGCGCAACGACGGGAACAGCAGCAAGAGAAGCAGCCAGACCAGTAACAGGACTAGCAGCGAGAAAAACAAAAGCAGCAGCCACAACATCAGCATGCGGACCTGGGGGTCCCCAAAGGAAGAAGAGGAGTTCTTGAGCTTCGGCCTCGAGCTCTCTCCATCTGTCGAAGAGGAGACACTTGGCGGGTTGTCTATACACCACAGAAAGGAGACGCAGGAAGCTTGTCCAACCCTTGGAGTCTCCTTTCCTCATGGATAGCAGCACTTGCCCAACAGGCGGTACGGTCTCCTGCTGCTGTTGATGTTGTTGCTCTTCCTGCTGCTGCTGGTTCTGTTGTTGCTCTTGCTGCTGCTGCGCTGTTGCGTCCCTAGGCAGGGGGAAGATGTCGCACACTCCATTGCTTCCAATAGTAAAACCGTCTAAAAGCGAAGGCAAGCATAAAAATTATTGGAAAAGGAATAAAGAAATAAACATGGAAGACAGAGGCCCGGCAACGGAGCCATGGGAACACAGAGAAGAGGGAGACACATTAAACAAAAAAGGCACCAGACTCATAGGAAGTAGGTGACTAGAGAAAGAAAGCAGGAGGAGACCCTTCCTCTGGAGGGGTCCAGGGGGATTCTAGGTACAAAGGGATATCAGAAGCACGACACGAGGTACAGAAAGTAAGGGAGAGACGAGGAGAAAAGCAAAGAAACAGCAGATAGGCGTACAGGGCCTGCAAAAGTTGTTCAAAGAGGAGACAGGAGGAGCCGAAGCGCAAGGAGGAGGCCTCTCCTCAAGGCCCCACGTCCAACAAACTCCACTCAAACCCGCCAACCTCTCGCACACGCAAGAGGTGTCCAGGGGCCCGCTGGTGTTGTTGTTGTTGTTGTTGTTGTTGTTTTTGTTGTTGTTGTTGTTGTTGTTGTTGTTGTTGTTGTTGTTGTTGTTGTTGTTGTTGTTGCTGTTGTTGTTGTTGTTGTTGACGTTGCTGCTACTGCTGCTGCTGTTGGCGCTGTCACTGCTGCTGGTGCTGTCACTGCTGCTGCCGTTACTGCTGTTGTTACTGCTGCTGCTGTCACTGCTGCTTCTAGTGACGCCAGCTGTGGTGGCATTTGCCATGGCAAATGGGTCCCTAACATCGGCAGCTGTGGGCTGCGATTGCTGCAGAGAGCGGCATTTGTGCGGCTGCTGCTGCTGCTCCAGCTGCAACTGCTGCTGCAGAAGACTCTCGACAACTGGAGATGGGTGAACCCTGAAGAGGTGCTGGGGAGCGATTGAGGAGCTTTTTGTGGTGTCGCCAAAAATATTGCATCGGAAGTGCGAAGACAGCCAACTGAAAAGCAAGAGGCCTGAGGCGGGGGTAGCAGCCTGCAGCATCTCCTCAACTCCCCCAGACAAACTGCAACTCACAGTGGGTAGGGGCACACCTACTGACCTTTCCACCGCATTAGCAGCTGTAGTAGTAGCTGCTATTTTTTCTCCGGGTGCTTCTGATGTTGACGCTCGCATTGTTTGCAGCGTCTGGCCCTGCGTTGCGAGGAGTAAAGGAGGGGCTAGTGACGAAAGTACGAAGTGCTGCCGCTGCAGCTACAGCTGCAGCAGCAGCGGAAGGGGGCAGATGCAGTAACAGCAGCAGCTGCTGCTACTACTGCGGTTGCCTTGATGGGCGTTGTTACGCGGCCCAGGTAAAACACCTGTGGAGGCAGAGGCCCTGATGAAGGAAAAATAAATACGTAAAAGCTTTAAATTCAACAAAAAAGGAAAAGGGATCACTGAAGACCAAAACAATCACTCGCGCTGATCAGGAGCGGTTGAGGCCAGTGCTGTTCGTAACGCCCCCACTGCTCTCACCTGGCCATGAAAGCTATTGTATGTTTGTTTTCTCATGCTTTTTACAAATTTAGTAATTAAGTATTAGATTTAAAATATTGAGGATAGAGTTTTAAGATACCAAGTGTTGCAGTGGGTGGGGCTGAGGGCCTCTCGGGCCCCATAGAAGGTCACTCTGTCGGCGGTGGGGGGAATTATCTTCACGCGGATGCTTGCAGGACAGGCTGATATATCTTTTAATTCCATTGAAGAGGATATTAGTATGTTTTAAATGCACTTGCTACTCTAAGGTCTCCCACAGTGCTACCGTGGCCTTCTCTGAACTCAAACATTTTGCCTCTCCCTACCCCACTCCTCATCGAACAAGCCATACCCCATAGAATGTAAATGACAAACCCTAAGGCCTAAGCTAGCGCCTTACCTGCACCGTGCTCTGTGTGGTTTTGGTGCGTCCAGTTCAGGCTGCGAGCAGGTTCGGTATCGGGGTGGACATTATTTTTGTCGCCAAAGGTGCCGTTGCATACATCAAAAGGGGGTTTTAGTATTCGTGCACACGGTGTTGCCGTGCAACAGCGAAGTTTGCCACAATATGTAGCAGACTATAAGATATATAAGGGAGGACGCAGGCTCCCCCTGATAGTCTCATGATATTCAGATAGGTGATGCTGATGTCTCTATTTTGGCGCAATCAAGCCCGCGGGTCGATGCGCTACCTACTCTATACTGATTCTGAATGAGGACTAAGGGCTCCTTGGCAGACTCATCCTGTCTGTCTTTCTACTAGACCTTCCCCCCTGCGATAGTGTCTGCCTGGAACATCTTCCCTAACCAGAGACCCCGTACAGAACAACATGTGCTTGCAACACACTTTATTTTTCGTTTTAAGTATTATTTAGGATACTATTCTTTCGGAGTACTTGTCTAGACAAGTCGTAGCAGACCTGTACACTCACACAAGTACACGCGGCCAGCTCTCTTGACTTTTCCGCATCCCCGGCGTTCAGCAGTAACCTGTGAGCAAGAGTGTCTCAGTGCCAGAGCACAGCCTTGTGGTAAGGTGTCTCTCAAGCCGCCGTCCTCCCTGCGCCTCCTTTCCACGTAGCAAGGGACTCGAAGTTATCACTAGTATCTCCCCTATCTGGAATATAATCAGCTTCGTAGCACTGCAGCCAATCCACTTAGGTCTATGGGCAAACACAGTGCCTAGTCTTTTTTGATGCTGGCAAGTGTGTCGTGAAGCGCACCTATGAAAGCGTACCCGGCTCTGGTAGACAAACGGTAAACGGGCAGAGAGTTTCAACAACTTGGCACTGAGTTGTTGAAACTCTCTGCCCGTTTACCGTTTGTCTACCAGAGCCGGATACGCTTTCATAGGTGCGCTTCACGACACACTTGCCAGCATCAAAAAAGACTATGCAACATGCATAGCCCCATCACAGCATGCGTAGTCCCTGCGACTACGCCTCGCTGATTGCATGAAGGACGCGACAGCGGGTGGAATCAGGGGAGTAAGCTCAATGCAGGAATGGGCCTCGTAGAAAGGGTAAATGGCTTCCAAGTTGGAGCAGTTCACCATGCTATAATCGTAGGCATACCGTTCTTGACTTAATGGGCAGCGCAAGCGCGGCCTGCGGAAGTGGATACTAAGACCTGGCAAGAGTGCAGGTTGCAGGCCCCTTAAAATCCGTTGTATCCTCTCAGGTAGGAGCAAATGGAGGCAACTCATCATGATGCCTTTACAGAAGGAGGAACTTTGGACTAAACAATGCAGTAAGCTGAGCAGTTGGAGCAGATAAAGGTGTACTTGCCATAATGCTGTAACCCATCACAGCTGGTAGCGGCTGGCCACCCGCTAGACACCTACTGCATCGCGCATTCTAATCGGGGAATCTTTACAAGATTGTCTGCACTATAGACACTCCGACAAGCCTAAATGGAACCGGTTATGGTAAAAATGATAAAGTGGAAACGAAGGAAGAAAGTTATAGATAGAGCGATACGCAGCGAAGAAACTGTCTTTTATAAACAGAATTGCAAAGTTTTACCCGGGAATCATACGTTGACGGATCAACGCAAGACTGATCCCCGAAGAGGAGGAACTAGAAATGTTAAGGGAAGCAGGAAGGCAGTTAAGTGGTGACCTTCAGAAGAGGAAATACAAGGGGGTCTGGGGTGCGGCCCTCTGAAGACTGCAGGGTAGGATTAAGGGTTATCTCCGTGCTGTATAATATCAACCAGAAGTCTTTGTCAAAATGACAGCTGGAATTTTAGCAGGTTTATTGTATTCTGCCTTATTTTTGAGGCAAATGATCTCTGAGCCCTAGGCAGAAATCCCTTCGTGGCAGCCAAAACAAGCAAATGGCCTGCAGGAAGTGAGCTGCGCGCTGAGCCGTCGCTCCCTGGGATGCTTCCACTCGCCCCTAGCTCAACCTTCCATGTGTGAAAAATTTATTGTAGTAGTTTTGTGTTTACTGCATCGGCAGCTGCTGCCGCCGCAGCTACTGCAACTGCAGCTATATCTCTGCGACGCGCAGCGGTCTGAAAAAAAATTACACAGAAAGTAGACAAAGTACAATTTAAAGTGCAATTGAAAACTGAATTGGGGAACATTAAAAAGTGGAAAATCTCGATCTTCGTCTATTTGCGGAGTCATTCAACTGAAATACGGAGGACAGTTTGTTGCTGTCTGCACGACCAGCAAAACAGGTCAGGCAGCCGCAGGCAGCCGTTGATATTGTTGGTGTCCAGAGTTTGTGGAGTTCAACAGGAGGTGTTACTGCTGGAAAAGGTGTTTGCAAGTTCAATATGTGCCATAAAATGGCAAATGTACCCATGAAAGGCCCTCTTTTCTTTGGATCTGCACGAGGTGCTGGGTGCTGTCGTGCAAGACAGCTGGTTGAGGCTGCACGTCGGCTGCAGCCTTAGCAGTCCAAACAAGTGACGCTGCCCATTTTATCGTGTTGGTTCTTTAACAAGTTTATTTTATTTGGCAATTACTGAAGAAAATGACGGGGAAAAGCCCTTATGGAGCCTCTGCTGTCAATGGAGCCGTTGGTGCAACGCTTGAGGGATCCGAAGGATCGATGGGCGGTGGCAGCAGCAACGGCAATAACGACGACAGCGCCAACAGCAACATCAACATCAACAGCTGCGATAGAAACAGCAGCAACAGCAGCGATATCAACACCTGCATCACTGAAACTTCACGCCAAATGCCCGATGCCTTTTCCTACAGCACAGCCTGCTTCATCCGCGGAGATGAAAAGTTAGGTGCTTCCTCGGCAGTAGAAACTGCTGCTGCCGCTTCTTCCTCTGCCTTAGGAAGTGAGGGAAGAAGGAAACGCAGTATTCAGGCGGGATGGGAGCCTCAGCTTTCCGTTGTAACGCCTGAAGCATCAGCTGTGTTGGAGACGTGGCTTGATGAACATTCCGAAGCACACACAGAGAGAAAAAGGAACAAGGCATCAAACCCCCTAGTACTCTCAGCTCTTAACAGCCATACAGTGCAGCCTAGCCCAACGGATAAGCCCGAAGCTACAGACAGATCAAACACGTCAGATCAGGAAGCCGGGGCGCCTCCTACTCCAGCGGAATCTGGTAAGGCTTAACTGGGGTATATACGGGCCAAGCAGCTGCTGGTTTTCACCTATATTGTGTTCCTGTGCATGAACCGTTTTCGTTTCATAGGAGTGCAATCACTGGAAACAGTATGTCAGTCTGTGTGTCGTTGCATGCAGCTAGGCTGGAGCGGTGGGTGGTCCTGGAACTGTCTTTGTCCCGGGGCCTTCCTATTGTGCCTTCGTGAATGAATGCGTGCAGTGAGGTTTCCATCACTTGATTCGTGACATCGTTGGCTGTTGCTGCTGCTTCTTTCAGACGAGACGGAGAAGCCGGAGGCAGCGCGGCGTCTCCGATTTTTCGTTGGAGGTATCGCTCAAGAGGTGGAGGAACACGTCAGTGTTCTGTATTCAGCTATCCTGTGTAGCTTCACATGCCACGCTATATATATATATATATATATATATATATATATATATATATAGATATACTCATATAGATTTGTACATATGTGCAAATACGCACGCGCGTACAACACAGGACACAGTAACAACAGAGTGCTGTGCTATATTACCTTTCGGTGCTGGTCTTCGGCCCCACTCCCTTGTATGGAGGTGTTTGGGAGCTGTATCCATGCATGGTAAAGGCTCCGTTTGTGTCTGATTTTGCATGCAGGAGCTGGAGGCGCTATTTTCGAACTACGGCAAAGTTCACAGCGTGCAGCTCACCAAGGATTACACAACCGGGCGGCGGCGGGGCTTCGGCTTCGTTACAATGGGAGAGGCAACAGCTGAAAGCGCTATCTTCAGCGCAGTGCATTATCTTCGAGGCAGAAGGCTGGATGTGAGGAGAGAGAACGAGACAACTCCCAACGAGATAAACAGAAAAGTTTTCGTTGGGGGCCTACCCCCAAATCTTGGGACAGATGAACTTGCCCTGTAGGCTAGCAGCACAGTTCCTCGGCTAACCCCAAAGTTAATGGTCTGTAAGTGTCTTTATGGGGCAGTATAGCTTTTCAGAGGAGTAGGGTTTAGGGTGTAGTGTTTAGGGTTTGCGGTTGGGGAGCGGTGCGCAGGGAACTTTCGCGTTTCGGAGAAGTTGAAGGCGTTCAAATAGCAACAGACTGTATGGGGCGATCCCGCTGCTTTGGCTTTGTCACTTTCAAGAAGGAAAGAGTGGCAGAGTCTCTGATCGGGCAGGGGTCATGTCGCGTTGGGGTGAGCTCAGCTGTTGGCCGGCTTAAGGATTTAGGGTTTAGGGTTTAGGCATGAAAGCGGTCAGTTGCTGCAGTTGCGAAGACCGAACGATATAATGCATGCATTACCCTGGACACGATTCTTGTATTTTAATTCAAAAGCGCAGGCAGGATTGATAGTAAAACACATGCTCTGTACTTCGCTTTATGTTGCAATGCATCGCCCTTGTGTATCCGTGCGGCTCCCTTCGCTCGAAATCGGCTGGCAGCATGCATGCATGTTCTTGGCCTCTTTGGTGCTGCTGCAGTAGAATGTCTTTTTCGAAGACGCAACAAAATGGCCTCCCTTCAGGCTGCCCCTGTTGCCCTCAGAATCGATTTGTAGAAATAAGGAAACCGGAACCGAAGCGCTCGAGACCCAGGGCGAATAGTTGGAATTTGCAAGGGTGGGGGTGACTTTCTTCGGAATTGCTGTATGTATGGAAATTCTGGGTCTTTTCCTACGTGTAACTGTTTTGTGCATGCATGGGTCCTGCTGCTGCTCAGGTGCTGCTTCCCAACCTCATACAATTTGTATCAGTTTGCCCCTCAACAGTGGCACGCATGCGCTGGACAGGCTGTCTATGCATACGGCGGCTCCACCAATGAGTGGCCCAGCTGGCCGCCTCCCGCAGCGAACGCCTACGCCTTTTGCTCTGCAGATGCAGCAGCATACACCTACCACGAAGCCTTCACAACCGCCAGATCCACTCAGCCGCACACCTGGAACGGAGCAACGCTGCAAGGTGAACCGACCCTGCAGCAGGACCCGAAGACAGAAAGCGCTCTTCAGCAGCATACGAGTGAAGTGCCTGCAGAGGAAGAAACACCAACGGCTAAGGAGTTTACTGCGATGCCCAATAATGACGCCTCTACAGCTACAGCTGAGAAGGTAGAAAACAGATATCGTGGTCTGCTGAGGCAAGGCGCAGAGAACAGCAGCGGCAGCTGTGACTACTCTGAACAGCCAGCCAATAATTTTCACATCTCCGCGCAGTGCCAGGTGCACCAAGAAAACCAAACGGAACATTTACCGCTTGTGAGTGGCGTTGACGCCGCTCACACAGCACCTGCCTAATTCCGGAGGTTCATACAAGACAAATGCGAGTATCATGACCTCTACTATCGTCTTCAGGGTGCCTTCGTTTGGTCTACTTTTTACATAGTGCGCTGAGGTCGAATGGACTGTGTATTTCACAAAGTTTTGCCTCAGTTCACCTAGGAGAACTCATGGCTGATAGGTCACATTCGAGGTGTACGAACGCTGTGTGCGGCCACGTGGGAAAGCTGCAGAATTCTTGAGGGAAGCTGTTGTTTTCAAGACTCCAGCTGCTGACGCGATGTTGCGCCTCCATGAAACTATCTTATAATGAAACGGTTGATACTGGTTGCCACAGTTGTGCTGCAGGAGTGCTGCTTCGGCTGCGCTTACCGCATTCACACAGCGACAGAGTCCGAGATCTATAGGCTATTGGGACACCCAGCCATACAGCCACTCACTAAGTTAGCTCAACAGATCCATTTACTTGATGTTGCCGCCCCTTGCCTCGTCCGCTCTGCCCAAGAGGAGCCCGAAGTTCTAGAGGCCGTGCAGGCGCTTCGGGAGCGTTCAGGTTTGCTGAAACCTATAATCAAAAATGTGAGGGACAGTCATCTTCAGTCCATTATGCATCGCTTTCCCTTTTATAATCTTCTTTGGTTGCCGATAGATTGTGCTCATCATTGGGAAGCCAGAAACAGGTGGAAAGGCGGGAGAAGAACATGCAAGACTGTTAAAAGAAAGCGCCGAAAGAGTACACCAGTCTGTCGCCCAGGTACTGCACGAATTAGATCCTTTTCCCTTCATTGCATTTTGTTTGATTACTTCATTTCAATTGAATAAAAACTTGGAACCGACAGCTGGGCGCTGAAGCAGCCCAGTTGCTCTCATTAGAACCTGGAGACTGCCCAGAGGTGCCGGGGTTGAACATCGGGGAGGCGCTTGCCGTAGCGGCGCAGGAGGCCAAGGGTATTTGAAATGGAAATGCTTAGTCTCATCATCAGCCAAACAGCACACGAGGTGCTCGAATTCCTCAGCTCTCCACAAAAGGCCACCCCACCAGTCTATCGGACACGGACTGGCAGAGGGGTTTATTCTTTACGAGTTCATTCCACATTCCGAGGCATTATTCAGCATTTCAGAAGGCCTGAAGGAGGTGCAGGCGCCAGCCCCACACACTGCGAAAGCAGACGCGCTGACAGCCTTCTCTCGAATATGGAATGAGGTGCACAACCGAGTTCTTGCAGCAGGAACATCTCTGCTGCAGAAAGTGCGGCGAGCACGCAAGGACGTATCGAAGCCGTCTGTTGCGGTGGAGGCGCTGGAGTTAGCGGCGCTGGCGAAGTATGCGCAAAAGGTAAAGCAAAGCGGCGAACGATTAAATGGCAATCCAATATGCATGCATTCATCTCGTTGCTGCAGGACGTGGCGAAGAAGCTACAGGTAATGCCCCCAGAAGGGTCTACAAAAACTCCCAATGGGAGCTGACCGTAAGTGGCTGGTCACATGCAATAAAAATCCAGAGGGTCGATACTGCAAGGGTTTCTAATCGACTGCAAAACGTGGAGAACTTTCTGTTGAAATATGCAGACAAAACTTCGCTGGACCGACGACAAAGCCGATCTAGAGATCCGCAACAGCCCCCCACTTCGCTCTCAGAGGTGAGGCTCTTTAAATACAATTTCGCTCGCCTCACGCGCTTACGAACGGCATTGCATACGGCTTTCTTAGGCTATGCAGCTTGCCTTCGAGGTGGAAACTATTCTTCCCCACTTTCAGTACCTTCACTCTGACTTGGAGACGACAGGAAATAAATTGCGGTATGTTGTTGTTTTTTACACAACACATCTGTGGGAAAAACCGCCAAAACGGCCACTGTCAGGTACCACACGCACCGGTTTCAGCAGGCCGTAGAGAAAGCTAAGGCGGGCTTAGAAAGTAACAACGCAATCAGAGAAGAAGTCGAAAGGTGAAACGGAACAACTATAGCCTCCTTCTGCACCCTGAATATATACACGAGCGTGCACTGTGCAGCTTGCAGACTCAAGTCGAAGGGTTGCTAAGACGGGTCCGATCTCACGCAGCTGCTTCCCTTGGCCTTCCACGCATGCAAGAAGAAACAAATGAACCACTAGACCTCATGGCCCCTCTATACCGCTTTCAGCAACTACTTGAATTCACAGAGGAGAAGGGGAAAAATGAACGGTTCCACAACGAGATCACCCATATCAGACATATTCTTAGAAAATTACACCAAGAAGCAGAAAGGGTTTACACAGACATCATCCAATAGTAGACGCCACTTCATAAAAACATCACCTTCATATTTTCATCATGCGAACTTGCCATACAAATAGTACCAAAAATACGCATAGCACAGGCAGATAGATGCTCTGCAGGGGAAACAAAATTCTTAGTAGCAACACCAATAACTGAAGTATAATCTGCATGACTCAAGATGTGTTTTCGACTGGCTAACTAGCTATTGCTGCTTAAGTGTCTGCTCTTAAATCCCCCAAATCATCTGAAAGGCCTAAGAGAGAGCTCTTCAGGATGCATTTAAAATACTTGTGCAAATGCCGGCCAACGTTTGTTGTCCTGATGAAGGCATGAGGGGCTACAAACGCCAATCAAATGTGTTCGAACGTCGTGCAGCCTCCTCATAGCTATAATATAAATAAAATATTTACTGTATATACATCTATTGTAATACACCCCTCTCTATTTCTGACACGCGCGAGCTACAAGCCAACCCCAATGAACAAAACAAGCAGCTTGGAACAAACACTAAAGGCTGCATCCAACACTGGAAAGGCAAATAAAACGGCACTAGCAACATCAAACACAGACTACCGAATTGCCTGCCAGCCGTTAGACACAGCGGAAAAAATTTCCTCTGCAGAACGCTCGCAGTTAGGCACACACGTCCACGTAGTAGCAACCAAGGTAGTAGTAACCAAGGTACCCTGCAGGGGCCTTTAGTGGGGTTTCCAAGGACCCTTCAATGGTTTCGTGAGGCGTCCCTACTAGCGGCTTGTTTCGCTTTCAAATCCGCAGGCCAGTGGGTGTCCTACATAGGCCTGTGAAGACCTGGATAGCAGAATGCATGCGACGAGATCGCAGGCGCCTTGTCACGAGCTGCCACTTCACTGCAGTTGCATTCAACTACCCTCTTGTTGGACTGTAACCTCTCCTCCATCCCTATCAGTGCCACCCCAAAATCACGCAACTCACTCCCCCTCAGCAGCCGGCGTCCCACCTAGGCCTGTGGCTGCTCATCCTCCTGTGGCCAGCCTTCCGCTACAGTGTGCGAAGCACCTGAGCCTGCATGTAGGCTGCGGTAGCCGCCTGCCGCAGATGCGAAGCCCCCGGTTTGTTGCTGCACAGCTTGCATGCGGCGACAGCGAGTGCTGCAGTGCGATCCGCCTCTGCCGCGAATGTCCGGCGCAGCCGTCAGCTCTTGCCTGGGTCTTGCAACCCATTCAGTGCATTGGGGGGCCATTTCATTCATGTGCCCCTGCATAGCATGGCGGGTGGCTCTCCAACCGTGGCGGGGTACTGCAGCAGTCCTACTGCTGGTGAGTGCGGCCGGGTCAGCCTGGAGAGAAGGTGCCCAGCGCACTTCCTCTTGCACCGCACCCAGGCCAGGAGCTATTTGCTGCCCCTGCTGCAGCTGTCGCTGCTGCTGTGCCGTCGTGAGACAGTGAACAAGGTGGCCGACTGTGTCAAGGGACACAGCAGCAGCAGCAGCAGCGCTGTGCTCCGATGCGGGAAGGTGAGGCGGATGGAGTCTGCAATGCTCGTCGTGGGGCCCCATGCTCCCGCTAACAGAAGGAACCTCGGGGGCCCCGTCGAGCAGACGCAGTCCTGGTAGTTGAAATATGTCATACGAGCGTTCAATGAAACTTCCTGCAACTGTTCCCAATGGCTCAGGTGCTGCCTCATTAAACTGCTGTTGAAGGCGCTGGAGCTGCTGCAGGTGCTGCAGTTGTTGCAGATGCAGCTGCTGCTGCAGGGAGTGTAGAGGCTGCAGCAGGGAGGGTGTGTGCTGCTGCTGAGGAGCACTGGGATGCCACACTGCTGATTGCTGTTGCGGGGCCCCCGTCCCTCGTCGATGTTCTGTTTCCTCTAGAAGTTCCACTTCATACCTCGAGACTTGTGCACAACACTGTAGGGGCGGATGCTGCAGCGGGGAAGCCTCTTGTGGCAGCAGCCGCACCTGCATCAGGTCTTGCGCTGCAGCGCAGCAGCACAGCAATGAGAAGCCCCGCAACAAGTTTTACAACCCTGCAGATGATCACAGAATTGCTATCTGGCCCGCAAAAACAGGAACGAAATGCATGCATGCAAACACGCACTAGTGCTGTGCGCCTCGAAAGAAGCCGCATGCCTGGGATATAACTATCTGTTTGTCTATCAGGCCTCCTCCTACCCTGTAGAGGTTGTGGCTGCAGCGCCGCTTCGGTTACTGTGGGTCTCACTAAGGGCGCAAACACCGGAAAGCTCGTGAACAAACGGGGAATTGTGGCGTCCCTCTCCGTATGCAACCCAAGAGGGTAGGGAGGGGCTGTTGCCGCCGCAGCCTCCAGGTCCCCAAGTAAAAGGTTCTGGGGCATCTCAGGGGCCTCGCCGAGATTCAGGCGCTCCCGGCCTTGGAGCTCCATCGCTATCTCCTGCAGTGACGTAGCAGCATGAAATACAGCAGGGGTCAGGAGGGCGGGTTGGCCTTGGTGCCCGCCTTCTTGCACCCCATGCGAGGCACCGAGGGAATCCCCTACAAGGGCACCTCCCAGCAGAGACCCTGGCGAGGAACCTGGGAAGGACTCCCCCGCGGGATAGTCATTTGATGGGGCCCCCATGTGGGCCCCTGTGGGGCCCCCTACGGTCCCTGCTGGCTGTTCTTGGGTTAGGGTTTGGGTTATGTCGGCAGGCACAGAACGCGTTTGGTGCTGCAAATCACACCAAGGGGCGACCTCAAGCTTGCACTGCCCGACTTTGAACACCGTGTGGGGCCTGAGGGAGCAAGGAAAGGGTTGGAGGGGCTTAAGGCGAATAAAAGTTCCTAAAGTGCTCAGGTCCCTAAGCATCCAGCGGCTGGAGGCCCCCCGCTGGCGGCCGTCGTAGTAAAGGAGACAGTGCTGGCGGCTCACGTAACCGTTACTCGATGTCACAGACACCTGCAGCACTTGCACCAACACAGCCATAGTTCACTAATCCTGAGCAGCAGCTGCAGGTCATTTGGCCCACTAATGCAAGCAATCAGCATGAGATAGTTAGCGCTGATATACAAAAAGAGACAAGTGTAGCACGTGTACAGACAAACAAACGATAACAACGGAGAAGCCAGGTTCCTAAGAAGACACAGCCCTTGTTGGCTGTAACGAGGGACTCCAGAGAAAGCCAACGTGAAGGCGCACATTTGCATCACCCAGCACCCCCTCCGTGAAGGACAGCGCAGCAGCAGCAGGAGTAGCAACACCAACAGCAGCAGAACAAGCACAGCAAGAGTAGCAGCAGCAGCAGCAGCAGCACAAGCAGAAGCAGCAGGTACCAGCAGCCGCCCAAGCTGCTTTGGCTGTGTCAGCAACAGTAGCAGTAGCTCTTAGGACAATAGCACCAGAGCTAGAAGCAGCAGCAAGTCCCTCGGCAACCGCAGGAGGAGGAGCAGCAGCAGTTGCTGTAGCTGCAGACCTTTTTGAGTTCGCTTGTGTGCGTGTGCGGCCCTCTGCCCAGGATGACACCCTTTGGATCTATCCACACTTCTTTGCCTTCTTGACCCGATATCTTCAGTAGCAAAAAGGACTCAACAGGCTCTAAAGGCTCATTAGGTCCTCTCCCCACACAGCCTCGTGCAGCAGAGAGAGAGAGGCTCCTGTCGCCTCCTCCCACTCCTGGCGCGTATTTGTGTGCCGCCCTCTCCCCCGTGCTGCAGGAGGCACCCATGCGGGGAACGCCGCAGCTGCGATCCGCCTCCTCCTCCTCCCCCTCTGCTGCTGCTGCTGCTGTTGCAGGCTGGTTTCTGCAGCTCGAGCTTGCCGTAGGCTTAGGAGGAAGTTCCTGAGGGCCTCCGAAGGAAGAACGCAAGAGCGTTCTGCTTGCCTCTTCCCCTTCGCCGCAACGATGGTTGGTATTACCCTCAGTGGCTGATGCAGATGCAGCATCCCACCAAAGCCAACCCCCTTCCCAAGCCGCTACTGCTGCTGGTGCTACTGGTGCTGCTGCTCCTCCTCTTGCTCCTGTTGCTCCTGCTGCCGCTCTTGCTCCCCCTGCTGTTGCACCCCTTGTCCCATCCACGTACGACAGCATAGGACTCACCACTTTGTTGAGGACCGTGTCCCACTGCGACAGCAAATACGGACATTCTTCAACCTTGGCACTGCCGTTGCTAATGGTGCTGTTGTTGCCGCCGCTGCTGTTGCTGCTGCTGCTGCTGCTGTTGCTACTGGTGGTGCCGCTGTTTCCGCTGCTGGTGCTCCTGTATAATGGCTGGTGTCTGCCTGTCTGCCCCTCTCGCAGCCTCAGAGGAGCGGGGTGTATCTCCACGGACACTTCTACACGGTCCCCAATGTGAACCAAATCTCCGGACCGCAGCGGCTGCACCCCAGAAACCCTGCAAACAGGCAACAGCAGCAGCAGCAGCAGCGCACTCACCACGGCAAGTTCTCATAGACCATTCTCCACGGAAACCAGAAACCTTTAATGTGACCCGATCTCCATTTTGGGTTCCGCAGTCTTAGCTAACAATAGTTAGCTAGCTGTGGAAGCAGCACGGCGGGGCCTACTTGGCCATGGTGCCAATGGTGGAGCCCAAGTCAATGAGCTGCAGGCTGCCGCGTTTCTGGTCTCGGAAGAAGAGAAGGTGAGAAAGAGAAACAGAAGAATGCGGCAGGTGCAGCAGGGACTGCTGATGCCTCCCCAGGTCCCAAGGCAGCCCGTGCTACGCACAGACACAGCATCAAATGCAACCCAACAAATGACACAAAATGACACATACGGAGACATAAAGGGGCAAACCGACGAAGACAACGACAGACTACAGGGGGACATAAACACGGCGACCGAGACACTCAGCAGGGCGGATATAAAAAGGGACAAGTAAACACATGTGGACCAAAACCGATCGTGAGCTGTGGTGGAGGCGACAGGCAAGAGGAGGAGCAAGGGGCGAAAGACAGGGGGGGAGGCAAAAAAGGAGAGAGAGGAGGAGACAGAAATATTCAAGAGAGGAGACAGAGATGTGGCACAGAAGGAGACAGACAGGAATGTTTCTGGCGTCAAAGATCTTGCTTTCAATACGGTGGGCTCTGTCACGAGCAACGCGGACGGCGAGGCGGCAGTTGTCTCCTCTTGCCGCTGTACTGTCAACTCCGCCGTAGCTCCACGGCAGCGCAGAGACGCACGTCGCTTCCACCCAACGGCGGAGACGACCGAGTGTCCCCTCTGCAGACACAGAGCAGCTAGGTGCTCCTCTCCATAGTAAGGGTATTCGTGTGCATGCACGGATACTATACTATACACACCGCAATGCAACACACGCGAGCACTGCTCTTCCTTTCTTTATTTTCTTGTCTTTTTTTATCTGTTTGTCTGTCTCTCCCTTGCTCTGCTTGTTAATCGCCTTGTTAATTTGTCTACCTTGGGTGTCTGTCTGTTTGCTCTCTTCCGTTTGCTTGGTTGACAAATATAGTAATAAACGAACAATTTACTACTAATTTACGTATTAATAATATATTTATTTATCTAGCACGGTATTATTAAGATATAGAATTCACCTCTGTCTGCCTCGCTATAGCCAATCATCTTACAGAATGTCTCGGCGTCTTCCAATGAAAAACACCTGCAGTTCCACAGATGTTCAAAATAATAATATCAATAATCATAATATTAATAACAATATCATTAATGGTAATAATAGTAATATCGATCGTATTATTAATAATACTGATAATAAAGACAACACATTCAATACCAACAATATCGATCGTATTATTAATAATACTAATAATAAAGACAACACATTCAATACCAACAATAAAGATCCTAAAAATTAACAGCCTAACAATAGTAATGAAAATACTACTTATTATTATTACAATATTCAAAACCATTATAATAACAATAATAAGGATGGCAGCTAGTGATAATTAGTACTTAATATACAGCTGTCGTAAATCACAAGCGAATGCGTTTCTGTATGTACACATCCATACGCACATACATAAAAATCTGGGCACTGCAGCTGCCGCAGTAGCACCAGACGCAGTATCAATATCAGCTGCAACTGCAGTCCTAACATCTATATGCAGCAGAAGGAGCCACAGCAACAACAACAACAGCAGCATCTGCAGCAGCGCCCATAGCGTCATTGCAACGGCAACTGCAGCATCAGCATCAGCAGCAAACACGCCAGTAGCAACAGCAGCAGGAGCGGGTTGATGATCTGGTTGTTGTGGGGTGGCGTTTCGTCTCCACCCACCATCTTTGTCCCCTCCAAAGTTTGTGTTTATCAAATAGGTGGAGGACAGAGGCTACGATGTCGTCCATAAAGAGACAGCTTTCTGCAGCTATTTCAGGCAGCAGCAGCCGCAGCGCCAGCGGGGCAGCAACACGAGGTTTGATACAGTGCTGTGACCACCAAGCCCCATCAACGGGACAACCTGCATGTTGCGACAACACGGAGCTGCTAAGGGGAGAGAGCGCGTGCTGTTGCTGTTTCTGCTGCTGCTGCTGCTGCTGCGTGTGCTGATGGAGCTGCTGTTGCTGCTGTTGGCGTTGCTGCTGGCGCTGGAGCTGCTGCTGCATGCGCGAGAAGGCAGCCAACAAGTTACACAAGACGGTGTTGAGCGGGAACTCGTCTCCCAGAGCGCGTCGGCAGAGGGGACATTTCTTTGTAAGCAGTTTGCTGTGCGCAATGCAGTAGCGACAGAAAGAATGGCCGCAAGACAGAGTTACTGGCAAACTCAACAATTCCAAACAAATCGAACAAGTCAACTCCCGGTACATTCCACCCAACTCCTCTACAGACACCCCACACACCATCCTCCTACTCGCGCTGCTGCTGCTGCAGCAGCTGCTGCTGCAGCAGCTGCTGTTGTTGTTGTTGCTGCTGCTGCTGCTGTTGCTGCAGTTTATGCTGCTGTTGTTGCTGCTGCTGCTGCGGCTCCTGCTGACAAGACCGGTCCCGCTGCTGCTGCTGCTGCTGGTGCTGCTGCTTCTCAGGCGACTGCCGGGGCTGGCAGCGTCGCTGCTGCCCTTGCGGCCGCTCCTGCTGTTGGTGCTGCTGCTGCTGCTGGTGGCGGTGGTTGTTGCAGCCCGCTGCAGCGGCGCGAGCGGCGACTTGGGGCTACCAACCATCCTGTTAGAAGCTGCCATGGTGAGTGAAGCGACAGGCGCACAAGGTATAGTAGGTACAGAGTCTGCTGCTATTGTTGCTGCTTCTCTTCCTCCAACTACTGCTCCTGTTGTTCCTGGTGATCCTGTTGTTCTTGCGTCTCTTGTTGCTTCTGCTGCTACTGCTGCTTCGTCTGCTTCTGCTTTTTCCGCTTCTCCTGCTGCGTCTTGTGCGCCTGCTGTTTCTGTTGCTTCTGCTGCTTCTTCTGCCGCCGCAGATTCTGTTTCTCGTGCTCCCGTAGGTGCTGCTACAGGCGCGCCCGCCCTTCCGGGCGGTGCTGCCGTTGCTCCTGCAGCGGGAGACGGTGTTGGTGCAGTGAGGGTGGAAGGGTCTGATGATCCTGCTGCTACAGTGTTGGCTTCTGTTTCTGTGGCTGTTGCAGGTATCCCCGTTGTGGCACTCATTGTACTTGTTACTTGCGCAAACCCGTCTGTCCTCTGGTGTCTCCTCGAACAGTTTAAGTGTAATTTGGTCCTGTTGTTATTTGAAAGGTCTTCTTCCGCTGTCTTTTCTCTGCAGCAGTTTTGGGGCGTTCCGTTGCTTCTCGCGCATTTTCTGTCTCCCTTTGTCTTGCGGCGGCAGATATCCAGACCACATCGCTCAAAAGCCTTTTGAGGGCATTTGGCTGTTGTGGGGGCTGCTGCTGTAGTAGCAGCACGAGGAGCACCAGCATTACCATCAGCATTACCAGCAGCAGAACCAGCAGCACCACCACCAGCAGAATGGCAATACGAAAAGGGGGAGTTCTCTTGCTGCCTCTGGAGGCTGCTAGGAGATGCTGTCCCACCAGCATCAGCAGAGGCAGCAATGCCGTTGCCTACAGGAGCAGCCTCCCCTATTGTAATTACGGCTTCTGCCGTTGGAGGCACATCGTGGGCCTGTGAGCGGACTCCACGCCGCCGCGGCCGTCTCCCTGGTGTCCTCGGGCTCCCAGACGGTGCATCCATTTGCACTGGCATTTCTCCTGCAGCTGCTGTCTCGGCGTCTGTTGCAGTTCCTAGAAGAAGCTTTTATGGCACGCAAGACTGACCACTGGACATGTAAGATGTCCACGTCCTCGTCGCCCGCCTCTACCGGGTCTTCTGCAACTGCCCAAGTACTTCCGCACTGTTGCTGTGTCAACTTAATTAAAGATATGCTGCTGCTGCCAATGGCAGCAGCAGCACCTCAGCGGTAGCGGGCGGTGTCAACGGAGCCAGACGACAGCACCTAGGGAGGAGCAGCAGATGCTGGTTTTGTCTCCGCCTGCTTCCAACACCCACCAAATTCAGTGCCTACTGCAGCCGATCAGTGATGTGGAGCGTTTGCTGCCAGCAGTAGGCGAATGAGACCCCACAAGAGGCCCTAACCAGGCGGACCACTCCGTACCAATGGTCCGCGGGCGGGGCTGCTGCAACTCTGTGTGCCGCTGTCTTTGTCAATGTTCAAATTGAAATAAAATGCAAAAAGTTTAAAAAGCGGCAGAAAAGGGGCTAACACGGATGTGTTTTGTGTCCAGCTGCTGCTTTGGGTAATCTGCTGCTGCGCCTGGTGCCAGTCAGCAGCTGCGGCTACTAAGCGGCGGTGCGGGCACCCGCTGGTCTACAGAGAGTAAAAGAATATAAAATAAAAGAAAAACGTAACATCGATCTGAAAATAAAAAGGATAACCAACAAGAAGACGTCAACAAACGGGTGTTTTGCTGCTACACACATCTGGCGCTCCTGCTGTCGCTGCTAATGCTGCTGCTGCTCCGGGCAGCTTGGCTGCTGTTCCGACTTCTATGTAGGCGCCGTTGTATACATAAGGATGAAACTCAATTCTAGAATGACACGAAAGGCTCTAAATATGTCACTAGCACGTGGAACTGATTGCAAACCGCGGGTATGGGGAGCAGGAGCTGCAAACCCAGGAAGGCGCTGCAAAATTGGGGGAGTAATCTTATGAAAACAGCAGCAAATTGCACACATATCATCTCCTATACACAAACAAAACAGCTAAAAGGAGTACGCCACATGCCTTCAAGATGTAGCATCAAGACGCAAACCCTCCGCTGCAAACAACTACTGGAAGAATACCGGCTGGCAGGCCCTGGCTAAGCATGAGTTACGTATAAAAAGGCTTATGCTAGGTATTTGCGGAGGTTCAGCGTTTAGAGTTTAAGGGTTACTGGGGGGGTTCAAAGGCGAGCGAAGGGTAAGTCATGCTCGGAACGAGCCTTCGCAACTGTAGGAGAGAACCGCCATCAGCTACAGTAGAGTCAAGATATAACAACAAGCGGCTGGGCTCTAACTCCAAGCCCTAGGTAACCCGGTCACAGCGGCCCCAGGTCCTGTGGTTGGCTGGAAAATACAGTGGCGTTGCACATGTTGCAACCCACAGTGCAGCACTTGCTAGTATATGGCAAGTCCAAAAGGCACGCTTTAGGTATGCTGCCTGCATACAAGCAGAAATACATGTTTGAACTTTCAACTTACAACAGACAACAATGCAGGTGAATGCTACAGAAAGTGTTGCTTGTGCAACTCCATTGGTTCTTCCTGCTATCTCTTAATGCAGTGGCTCTTGCAGCTGCATATGCTAAAGTTACATATCGTGTTGCTGCCTCATTTGCCTTTGCATCCCTTGGTGTTGCAGTGCTTGCTGCTGGGGTTCCTATTGTTCAGGGCGAAAATTCTGGCGGTGGGAAGTCCTGGAAGCGACGTCAATAGATCTGACCTCTGGTGTCCATCCCTCCTGCTTCCTGCTCGTCTGGTGCTCCCATCTAATGAGCATAGTGCCGCAGACCTTGCTGGCTTCTCTTCGGCTTCCCTTGCCGCTGCGTCGGTTTCTTGTTTCACTGACCGTCCAGCAGCAACAGCAATCTCAGACGTTCCTCCACTTCATGGCTCAGTCATGTTTCTGCTGGTCATGTTGCCATTACCCCGGTGACTTTTGCTGCAGTTGCCGTTGCTTCTCTTCCTGACTTTTACACCATACATCGACAGCCTTTCTGGCTATTCTCTTCCATCGCTGAGCTCTATTATTATGCACAAGGTAGCCCAGCTATGGTGGTGGGGCTTTCACCACGTGCTTGCTGCCCTGCTGCTGCTGTAGTGTTAGACAGCCTGCACTTCTATAAAGTGTAGCGCAACCCGTCTATCTTTTCTAATAACCGCAGTTAGCCCTTGCTAATATAAGGTCAGACCCAGTCGTAAGGTGCTCCGTAACCCCCAGGCTAGGGCTCTAGGGGCTTGCATGGACATGAGGTGGCTTAGCATGAGTTCTTCGTGCTGCGACTCCAGCACAGAACCAGGGGAAGCGCCACACCGTCTTTACGTGCGTGCCCCAACAACCTAGATACTCATTAAACACGTACTTTGACCTCAGGATCCAGCCAGATGTCAGACAGGCATAACGCCTACATGTTGCTTCGCGCCTGCTTTTCACATGAGGTCGGCAGCTGTATTAGCACAGCAGGGCTTCAGAAGATGGAGATACTAGCCGATGAACTATTTCCCATCAGGAATCCTTCGAATGCGAAGCATTCGCAGTTAGTACCAACGATTCGGGCAAACTTGCCCTTCTGCATCATAGTTGAATTGTTGTGACGGCGTTCTCAATACCAAATGTTTCAAACAGATCCAAAGTGCCACGGCAGAGAACTTTGGCGTCGCATGCAATGCATACCTCTTCATGCAGAATAAAGTGATTGACTTCAGCCACTGGTGGCAGTGAAGAGAGTCGTCACTGGAGCTCTAGGTTGCCTGAAAAAACTTCAGACGATACAACTACAGGGTAGAGCACATAAAGAGGTTGGAGAATCTCAGAAAGTGTCCTCCACCCATCCAACTGTTGTTGCATCCACTAGCAAGGGGTGTTGCTGCGATAACGTAGGAGCTGCTAGAGGCCTCACGCCAGAGCAAATGGCCTGGCTAGAATATGTCGCCCTAATATACCTACTCTGTAGGTCATTTGTGTTTCCTAGTGAATATGACCGCACATGAATGCACAACGTACTTATATTTACTCGCTTTGGGGAGGCTGATGTGGGAGAAAACACTGAACACAAGCATTTGTACTTAAAAGCTTAGTAGTGCAAAATAGTTCGTGCTACATAGCCACTCGCTGACATTGGCATTCGGGTGACCGGCTGCAGACGCGTTTTATCTCCGTCGTGCTTTTCTCCTTCTTATCTAAACGGGTAGGGAGGGAGTGTCTCGTGAGTGCCGTAGTAGATGACCAGTACCACAAGGAATTGCGGAATCGTGGACACCTTAGCTAGGCCACCCAGAGCGAATTGGTGTAGATGCTGTCTGGCAAAGAAAAGTCGACAGGTAAAGAAAAACAAATTGGAAGTACAGATATACAACGGAGCACGAACATGGCAAGCCAAGCCTGCAAGTCCCAGTCAGCTGCACGGGACGTACAGACACAAGATGAAAACCGCGTTCAGCCACTTTTACCTTCTTTGAGTGGCCCGTTATTGGTGTAAATATAAATGCATTTATTTAATCAAAATTATACACAGCAATAGAGGCAGAAGGTAGTGACTGGCATGGAAACTGCAGCCCCATCGAGACTTTGCGCCCCACACCTGGGGGGGCCCACTCCAAAGAACCCTTTATTTTGTTTGATTCCTGCTCCTGTTTTGTTTTCTCCTAATTAATGACTCACAACTCTGCAACAGTTGTATACCGCTGCAGCTAGTGTCAGGCCCCAGAACACCATGGCTGTAGAAGAAGCAGCAGCTGCGCCTCCTCTGGCTGAAGGAGGAGGAGCAGCAGCAACAGCGGGAGAAATGGCGGCAGCAGCACCGGAAGCCACAGCAGCCGGTGGATCATCTGAAAATGCAGCAGCAGGAAAAGGCGAGGGAGCTGCTGCTGCTAACAATAGCAACAAGCGCCCTGGCGGTGCCGTGTCTGAGGCAACCTCTGGAGAGGGTGCTGCTAATGCGAAGAGAAGGAAGACAGGTCAAGATGGCTATAAGCAACCAAAGCAAAAGTCTAGGGAAGAAATGACTAAAGAAGAGCTCCTTGCCGTCTTAAAGAGGCAAGTTGAGTACTACTTATGCGATGCTAACTTGGCAACGGACAGTTTCTTCCATGAGAGAATTCAAGAGGCAGAAAAGCAAGGGAAGGGAGTGAGTGGTAATATCACCTGCAGCGCTTGCAGCCAACTGAGGTTCTTCTTTCGTTTTCTCTTCATCCTCCTGCTTGTTTCTCTGTCTCGATATGTGTAGCTTTCCCGGGCTCTGCCATTCTTTCTCTCTCCGCATGGGTCTCAGTGTATGTGTATTTCCTTGTCTCTCCTTTTATCTTTCTCACTCAATATCTGCCGCTTTCGCTCTCTCTACCCCTCTCTGTCGCTATCCCTCTCTGTCTCCGTCTCTCTGTCTCTTTCGTTCTCGCTCTCTCTCTGTACCTCCCACTCGCTATCTTTGTCGCTTACTGTCTCTGCCTCTCTCGCTCCTTCTCTGCTTGTTTCCTGTGTCTTCGGGCTGTCTAGTCTATTCTAGTCTCTGTCTGTCTTCTCTTTGGTTTCTGCTAGTGCTGCAACAGTGCGGCAGCAGGAGGAGCAGCAGGAGCTGGGAGCCATTGCTGTTGTTGTAGCGTGCTTCGGCGTTTCAGGTGTCTCTGCACATGAACTCGGTATTGAGCAGCCCACGAATGAAGTCGCTGCAGGCAACAGCAGAAGAAGTTACTGCTGCACTTGCAGACAGCACCGAACTGACTGTTGTTACAGATGAAGATAAAAACATTTGGATTAAAAGGAGTAAACCTCTTCCTCCTCTTCGCAAAAAGGAAAAGAGAAACAACAAGAACAACGACGATAGCGGGATAGGCAGAGACCCCCATGCTGTCGGGTACCCTGGTGCAGCGTTTGCTGTTGCTGCTGGGGCTGCTGCTGCTGCTGCTTCTGATGTCGATTCTGTTGCCATTTTTGTTGACTGCATTCCTGGCTGCTTTTGTACCTGCTGGTGTTGCTGCTGCTGTGCGTTGCTATATCTTCTCCTGTAGCTGACAGCATGCCCTGCATTTGTTTTGCATTTGTTGCTTTATTTGTTTCGTGCAGCTGCCTAGCTCGCCTAAGTAATTTGCCTGAAGAGTCCCCGAAGTGGCAGTCAATCAAAGACGCTCTAAGAGAGAAGCTTCCCCCGAAAGTTCGTATTTCTGTTGTTTTGTTTGCTACTTTTGTTGCGTGTTTGTTCTGTTTGCTTTGGTGTGCAGATCTCGCTGCTTTGCTTTACATTTCCTCATTATTTGCATGCATATGAACGCACGAATGTCTGTCTGTGTTGCTTCGGCGTATATGCATCTTTTTATCTTGCGTAGCAAGTTAAACGCTGCAGTAGAGCTGCAAGCCAATGTGCCTACTCTTGTATATTGGCAGCTTTTTTTCACCATTCACTACATGCATTTCTGTTTCCTCTTTGACACCATGCAGGTACAAGTGCGGTACGTTTCCCGCATTAACTCTCAGCACCAGTGTACAGTTTGGTTGGGCTCTTTCAAGGGGGACAAAGAGCTCTTAAAGAACACTCTTCAGTTGCAAATTGAGGGCAAGGAGGCAATCCTCAGCCTCATGACGCCAGGAGAGGTTCGAGCAGCATGCAACTCCGATGTAAGGCTTTCGTACCTGTGTGGTCCGCGATAGGTGACTGGGGAGCTAACGAACTAACGATCTGGTAGCGAGATAACTCGCGAGCCAGCCGCCCAAGAACTGCCGAGCTCGCGAGCTTGTCAGCAGGGTAGTTGGAGGGTCGGTTCCCATGGAGTTGAGGGTTTGCTGCTGCAAGGTTTAGAGGTTTTCCCTGTAGGGTTGTCTGTGGCATGTCTAGGGTTTGCTGGCTGTCTGGTGCATCTGCAGTTGCCTCCTCGCGTTCGCTCATCCAGGGAAAAGGAGTTACAGCAGTTTCGTCGCCAGCTTGCAGGTTTGCCGCTAACTTTAGGAGGCGCTTCTTTTAATAGCGTAGATCATCTTAATAAATGCATGCACGACTTGCTAGACAAGACGGAGGCCGGGAAGACTCTCAAGAAGGACTCCGTCGCAGAGAAAGCAGTGCTGGCTCTGCTAGAGTACCACCCCAATGCCTTTGTTAAGAAAGGAGGCAGCGATAAGCAGCCTGTGGGGATACGAGTTGACCTACATTCTAAAACTAACAAGGACGGGAGCCCCTCCAAGTGTTTCTTCGTGCTTCGGCAACACAAACAGACGCAGCAAGAAGATGCAGAGGTCAGTGAAGTGCCAGCATATATTTTCTATGAGGCTCTGTTCTCTATTTGCGCGCCTTGTTTGCTCTGAGGGCTGTCTTTCGTTTTGCCCTGCCCCCATGTATGTATTTCATTCGATTGCTGCCGAGTTGATATATTGGCTCACACCGATGTTGCTGCTTACTTGTATGATGAGCTTTGGCTTCCCTCGTGTATATGCGGGTCTGCTGCGCCTAAGAGTACAGAAAGCGGGGGGCGAGTATTTCTTTCTTTTGTGCATGCTGTCCTCCTTTGCATGCTTTCTGGCTACGTTGGGATGGCAGGGAGTTGCTTGCAATAGGGCTGCGCTTGCTGCTTCGCCGATTAGTAAAGCTGGCTGTGTGTTTGTGGTGCTGCTCCTCCTTTAGGACTTCTCGTTGGCAAAGTGTATGGCGGAGATCTCACGGAATCCACCGGTTAAGGAGGAGGCCTTCACCAACTTCATGGAACAGCGCTACGAGTTGGCTGCTGCAGCATTTGATGCAGCGCAGCAGCAGATGCAGAAGCGCAAGGCAGCAGCAGCAGCTGCTGCTGCAGCCACCGGTGACGGCGCCGGGCAGCAGCCTAACACAGCAGAAGGAGAGGAGGGCAGCAGCAGCAGCACGGCAGCAGGTGATAACGAGAAGGATAGTAAAAGCAACAAGAGTCCAAGTGTTGCAACAGAAGTAACTAAAGACGGAACCCCATCCAGTGCAAATAAAGCTAACGAAGAACCTCCCACTGCCTCCAGCAGCAGCACCGCTGGGAAGACGGACGCCTGAAGACAACCTCGCGTGCCGGTTTGAACTCAAATAGTCCCAAGACTATGCTCTATGCATTGGTGCATGCGCATGGAACCTCAAGAATGGGCTCGCTAGCGCATCAAAGTCGAGTCCGTCTAGTGCCGCTGGGGGGCAGCTGGTGCTGCAGTCAGGGAAGGAGGAGGAATGACGGCAGTGAGTTTTACTGTCGTCTTTTGTGTTTACTCCCAACTGCTACTGCATTTGTTTCGAATCTAGCGAGACGTGAGCAGCTGTGGTGTACGCGCATCTTGCATGCATGCACCTGCTTCACGAGAAACAAAACAGTTCGTTTACGACGGGCGCCGGGGAGGAGAGGGGCCGCTGCCCGCCAACCACCGGGTGGCGGCTATGAAGTGCTGCAGCTGCATATAGCAGCACACACGTTAAACAGAAAATTTGCAACCACAAACTCGGCAGTCGTGCTGAGGTACATTTATGAGCTCGTTTACTATACACAAGGCCTTTTGGTGACTCCTCTGCCAGCTACATGGAAAGAGCAAAGAATATACACAGACAAGTGACTGGGGTGTACGTGCAACTCTCTACGGCATACAGCCAGCTAAGTACTTACGCCAGTAATATTGCTTTGCCACTTCAGAAACAGCCACACGCCAGACAACACGGACAGAATTGTAGCTGCGGGCAGCAGGAACAGAGTCGCGAGCTCCTTAGGCGTAAACAACTCTGTAGCTGAAGGGGGGCCCCGGGGGGCCCCTTCGGGATTTGTCCCCGACTCTTCGTCGTCGTCGCCTGTGTCCCATACCTGCTGGTGCCGGTGCCTAGACAGCTCAGTGGCAATGACAGAAGCAGCCTGGGGATCGCGGCAAGGGACGGGATGAGGAGTAGCAGCAGACGTTCCTGCGGCAGCGGCGGGAGAGTCTGCTGCCGTTGGCGACAGTGCAAGAGTACGATGGGAGTAGTATCTCGCTGGCGCGCAAACTGGGGCTGCTGATGTTGTTGCATTGACAGCACGCAAGGCGCGCATGCGGGATTTAAACGAAATAGTTGCAGCGGCCACCCCCAAGAGGCTACCTCCAATGAAGAGGGAAGGAAGTGTATATACACCTAAGGTGTCCGTGGCGGCTGTTGTTGCACGCCTAAGGTTCCCCTCCAGACCCAAGAAAAGACCTGCAAAGAAGCCAAGGCGCTCCTTCTTCTCGCTGGGCTCCTCAGAGTGCGCCGCGCGCGATGCCGGCTCACAGAATTCATTCAAGCTGGATTCTGAAGGAATCAAAGAAGGCTGCTGCGGAGGCTGAGAATCGATGCTGCTGGAAGCAGCCGTCGAATCCATAGCAGAAGATGAAGAGAATCCCGCTGAAGCGGACTCAGACACATGTATTAAAACGACGAGCCAACAGGCACAGCAGGATTGTGCAGCTATGAAACATGAATTCAGACGCACAGTTTTGCACGGATATGGAAGGCAGAGACACGAAATCGCAAAACCAGAATTTCAAGAAAAAGATATCACAAAACAATGGCAGGAGCACAAATTCACAAAAACATGAAATGCAAAACCTTGAATTCACAGCGAGAGGGCAACTGAAAAGGGGCGTACAACTAACGCTCAAGCGCGATTACGGCTCAAAACCCAGGTGTATTTTGCATGTTATGAATGATTAGTTGTGTGAAATTATTCGTTTACATATTTCATTCGAAGGTTTGTTCGCGAATGGACGGCTGCATGCAGGCATGGGCGGCGGTTGGGCATCCAGCCGATTGTTCCATTGGAGCCATCACTTTCATAAAATTAATATCCTTGAGTATCCACTTAAAGTAATGTCTTTGAAATAAAAAGAAGAAAAGGATAAGTGCAGAAACGATGTATTGCAGCGCCTTCTACTTGCCGTGTTCTTGTTTCAGCCACGTGTTCACACATGCAGAATCGAGCCGGGAGAACCCCACTGCTAATGCACATCCACAACATTTCATTCTTCTAGTGGGACAGTTACTATCTATTGTTTTATTAATGAACTAGGCTTTAAGGTTTTATGCTGTTACGGGTGTTATAATCGCCGGACAACCAGCTCTGCACAAACACAACAGCTGAGACACGGCAGCGAGGCACAGGAGGGTTAAAATGCTTGAAAGCACGTAGAGGTAAAGTGATCACGTGCCTTATTTAATCGAAGAACTTAATATTAACTCCTTGCATTCAAAATAAAAAGCACAAACAATACTCCGTAGTGTGGAAGACAGTTAAGGTATACAGTATGCTATGCTGCATTACAACGGCATGAATATACCGCCTTCGCGGCAAGAAGCGTAGGCTGCCTTCTTGAGGGCACGGAGTTATAATTGACTTGGCGGCGGTCTGACACTGCTACCTATCGACAAGTAGCCCACTAAGCCTTCCCAGACCCTGAGCCCTAACCCTCAGCACAAAGGAATGGGATTTCTAATAGGCGTCATTCTCCATCTGCAGCATTTTCTTAGTGTTGAACAAGAGATTGGACCCGCCAAAGTGACGAGCAACACCCCTAACGGAAAGAGTGGTGGTTTGGAGTCGTGGGGATTTTGTGGGCGTTCTCGCGTTCATGCACTGTGGAACAAAGTCAACTGCTGCCTTGAAGCAAAGCAAGGAGCCCCCTTCATATATTCTTTCTTCTGCATGCGCTCTTTCTCCCGCTGCCCGTATGCTGTGCCCAGTGTGATGCAACACAAGCACGCAACAGAGGCAGTAGCGGTAGAAGAAGAGCCTTTTGCACCTGTTTGCGTCATTGTTGGTGTGCACTGATTTTAGTTTGAAGAGAGAGGAGGAGGGCATTCGTCTTCCCCAGCAGCGAGCTTGGCAACAGCAACAAAAGATGGATTCAGCAGTGAGGGTTTGTTATATTGCAGGGGCCCCAGGGGGCCCCCTTTAGCTGCGTCTTCCCACCGGTAGATCTCCCCTCCTGCAGCCCTCAAGATTGCGTGCGCTGCGCAGGTGTCCCATTCGCTGCAGGGAGCAAAACGGGGGTAGATGTGCGCCTCTCCGCAGGCTAAGCGCAAGAACTTTAGCGCTGAGCTGTACAGGCACCGCAGCCACAGGCAGACAGGTAGACAGTCACACACAAATACACACAACAACAAAACTCCAATGCAGGCAAGACGATACATGCGCTCTCACTTGCAATGACTCAGGCGTACACGGAGGAACGCAGGACGCCTGCATGATCGGCTGTTCGTGCCTACATCTATGTGCGTGTGTGTGCTGCTGCTTATTTGTACTGTGGGGGCATGGGGAAGAGCATAAGGCATGCAGGAGCACGAGCAATAGCAGCAGCAGTACCAGCAGGAGCACTGGTTGGGGTACAGAATCAGTTCCACAGCATGTAACTAGACCAGCTCAGTCAATACAGAGAAAGTGGGAACAGGAAGATATGAAGGCTTTTCCTGTTCGTTTTCTTCTTTGCCTTACCCTATTTGCTGCATTTGCGGCTGCTTGAGCCGCGCCAAGAAGGCGCAGGTGTCTGGGGAGCTATGGGAAGAAGAGGCAGTAACTTTAAGGCCAGTGTCTCCCCAGCTAAATACACGACAAGACAGAGGAAGGAGACGGTCTCCTTCCTTTTGCAGTTCCCATGCCCCCCCGAGGGCCTCTCCTCCTACGTACATCGCACCGCTAACGGGGGCTCCAACGATGCCCAGCACGGGGGCCCCCCTGAAGCAGAGGCCCATGTTGACGCAGAATTCCCCGTTTCTCTTTATAAACTCCTTCGTCCCGTCCAAAGGATCCACTAGCCATACAAACTCTGCTGCTGCTCGTGCTGCAGCAGATGCATGCGTGCTCTCCTCAGACACCAACAGGCAGCCGGGACACAAGTCTCTTAGACCTCCCAACAGCACCTGCAAAACAACTTAACAACATACAAAATGCTCGATATACACCCGGATGCATACACATATATGCATGCAAAGCGTTGGAGAAGTAAACGGGTTTCTGCAGCAACAGATGTGCGCCTGTCGAGGAGGCATGATGGCGAAAAGTCTGCTTCTGCTAGTGCTGCTGTGGAGTCCGGGGTTGTTTAGGATCAGGACAGCGCCATTCCCGAGATAACTGTCCTAGAGTTTAGGGTTTATGGTTTGGGGTTTCCGTCGAACCCGATTGGACTGCAGATCAGCCTTGGTGAGGGGCTCGGTGCCGCCCTTGTGCTCCACTTGCCACTCCTCCTCAGGCTGTGTATACACTTCAAGAATGGCATTGCACGCGCGGCGACAAAGGTGAATCAGATCGGATACATCTACTTTGCGGCCATCCCCTGCCTCTACAGGGGGCAGGTCGCTGCAAGTTAGTGGGGGGCCCATGGGGGGCCCCCTGGCGTGGTTTTGCTGCATTTCTTGGGCGCTCTTGTGTACTTGTGGAACTAAACTACCCCTGTTCTGCCAATTCTAGACTTTATATACACACACAAGTGAGTAAACAAACGCGAATTGGGCAAAAAGGTGGGTGAGAATGAGCACGGCAACACCTCCAATGCCGTTGCAGTGCACTGCAGGGGACAATGGCGCACGCAAGGAAGGCAGTGATGTGTCTAAGAGGAGTTTCCTTCCGAACCTGAATAGTGAAATAAAAGAAAAAACGTATTTATACCAAGGCAAGACAAAAAAATACCTGTTTCACGTTATGCCGCTGCAGCTGCTCAACAGCAGCGCAGCCGCTGCCGACTGGTGTGAGGGGGGCCTGAAGGGGCCCTCGCCGCCTTTCTGCTCGTGCCTTCGCACTTCTTCCCTCCAATATTTGAATAAATTTGTCCTTAGAACAAAAGTAATCTACTTTTTGTTTCATTTTCGATCTATCTTCTCTCGAGTGCTCTCTCCGCAGTGCCTTATGCCCTCGTTGACCCTCCGACGTACCGCAGGGGGCAGTTTTATTTGTCTTCCTTGTCTGCCGATAAAACACTCATTAAGCACTAAATACCATTTAAATGCCTAAGTGATCTCTGCCGCAGTCGGTTGCAGGTGCAGAGGCCCCAACGGGTTCCAGGGTTTCATGTGCATGGTTTAGTTTCGAGGTTTAGGGTGTGCGAGTTCACGTCTCGACGACGTAAGGCTTTCGATTGGTTCGCTCCTCAATGTTGCACTATAACGGCTGAGATGCCATGGATTCCGCGTGGTGCAGCGGCAGCTGCAACCGCAGCAGCAGCGGCGGCAGCCGCTGCTGTTTCTGCTGCCACCGCTGCTGCCCTGTGGGATGGCAGCCGCCCTACTCTCAGTGACAACTTAAGTAAAAGTAAGACGCAAAACCTTCAGCAATCTCCAGCAGCATCCTCTGCTGCTGCTGCTTCTGCCGAAGCCGAGGAGGACCGCCAACCACAACACCAAGCACAGGGAGAGGAGCAGCAAAAGCGGCAGCAGCAGAAGCAGCAGCACCAGCAGCAGGAGAATGCGGTCTCTGGCGCTAATCCATCTTCCCTGACGTCAATAGAACAGTTTGCGAGTGACCGGTTAGTGCTATTGTTGCTTTCGCTTCTTCTGCTGTTCCTTCTTTGCCTGGTGCTGCTCTTGCTACTCCAACTGCTGTTGCTGTTGCCACTTCAGGTGTTGCTTTTGCCGCTCCAGTTGGCCTTTGCAACCCCCGCAGTTTCTGCTGCTGCAAGACTTCGCTGCGCAGAGTGCAGCAGGAGTAGCGGCACCAGCACCAGCAAGAGTTTTCTGTGATATTCGTGTGTGTGTGTGTGTGTGTGTGTGTGTGTGTGTGTGTGTGTGCTGTCACTGTCCTCGTTTCTGCTGCAGCTGTAGAGACAGCCGAGAGGGGGTCTGTCTGGAGCCAAGCTTGCGGCAGATGTACTTTGCCCTTCAGCGTGCCGAAGAGGAGAGGGCTATTAAAACCCTCAACCGTAAACCTTAATCCCACGGAACCTAAACACTAAGCCCAAATGCTGAAATTAATAGCCCTTACCCTTTAATCACTGGGCAGGGAAAGCCACAGGAAACAGCTGCACTCCACCTCAGCTTCAGTGTCTAGGTTTTACGGTTTGCTGTTGTGTGGCGGTATTTGTCTCTTCTTATCGCTCTTTTTGTCTCATCCCTTTTTCCTTTTCTTTTGTCTTTTCAAAAGGAGACACTGCAGCCACCAGCTCCAGGCAAAATGTGCTGAAGCAATGCTGCAGCACATTTTGTCCGATGTTGCACCCAACAGCAGGAGAGGATCATGCAGACCATAGACTTGTAATTAATTAATTAATTAATTAATTGATAATTAATTGACTAACAAATCAATTAACCAATCTGTTAGTGCATTCTGAACCAATGAGCAAGAATACTAAACAAACATTTGACAGACGAGTACGCAAAGTAAATACACTAAGTACAGAACGAAATAAATAAATAGTACACAACGACACAACGATAAACGAGTAGTACATAAATACACAAATAAACAAACGTAGATTCACGGCGTACACAGTCATGCGAGCACTCAATAGACGACTAAACAGGTAGACGGTCACGGGGAATGGATAAATAAATAGATAATCTTCTTGATAAACTGACGAACAAATGAATAAACGAACAAAAAACAAACGTTGAGAAAACATTCACGAGAAGGAGCGAAGAGACAAATCGACGAATAAACCGGCAGGCGAAGAGAGAAACGAGCAAACGGGGAGAGTATAGTTGATAAACATGACAGGAAAGTAAAGGAGAAAGGAAAAGCAAATAAAAAAGACAGAAGAACAGTTGTCCCATGCTTTAAGGGGGAAACAAAGAAGAAGGGGGGCCCTCTTTGCGTATAGGGGGGCCCTTCCTTAGAGGCCTTCCTTAAGAAAGCGTCTCTGTGCTAGCTGCAATGGTTTGTCTTGAGGTTTGCTTCGTTTCCTTTGGCTTATTTATTGACAATAAACTGCAATTACAAACGACGAACAGCAATCTGCTGTTGGTGCTGTGGCCATTGTTGCTGCAGCAAAATAGCGCCCCCGCCGCCGCGTGTGCCTAGAGAAGCTGCTGCTCCACTCTGACGTGGCGCTGGTGCCACTGTTGCCTCCTCCGCCGTCCTTTTCCCGCGTTTCTTCGCGAATATTCGATTATTATTCTTTAATTATTATCACATAACAAAAGACAAAACCTGCTGCAGCGCCACACGGGCAGCAGCAGCGCAGCCGCAGCAGCCTCCCCAGGAACTGCGGCTGTGCGGCGATGCCTTTTAGAGGGGCGCCTTCTCCTCTCCCTTAGTTTTAATTTATTTTTACTTCTTGTTTGCCAAATGGCAGTCTTAAAAGGGGCTTTTTCCTTCATCTGAAGCCCACCTGCATGAACACTTTAGCCCCTGCTGGATCCTCCGCCGACAACCACAGTACTGCTTTCGTGCTGCTCCCCGTTGGGGCTTTACTGCTGTTTGCATGCGGCAGGGACGCTGCGCTGCAGATGGAGGGGCAGCCGACGGACGCACAAAGGCCCGCAGCTCTCCGTTTCAACACACTGGAGGGGGGGCCCTAGTGCTGCCGCTGCCCCTGCTGCCACCGCTGCTGCAGCTGCTGCTGCCGGCCCCTCATAAGCTGCTTATAGAAGAACTTTCGGGCCTCAAGGGGCCTTGTGCCTGACGCGTTGCCCCGGCCTAGAGTGGAGGCTCCGGGTGCAGCAGCGGCAGGCGCAGCTGCAGCAGGTGTAGCGGCAGCGGCTGCAGCAGCAGTTGGCGCAAGGTAGGCACTAGACCAACGTAGAAGCGGCGGCAGTGAGAATCGAGGCAAGTGGAGCCTTTTGAGCAAAAGCGTCAGGAGAGCCTCCAGGTCCAGCAACAGTAGCAGCGACAGCAGGTACAACAGCGGCTGCATCACCAGCAGCATGCCTAACGCTGTGCATGAACGTAGGGGCCTCTTGAATTCTTCTAGAGGCTGCTGCAGGGCCTCACGTGGTCAAATGAGGGGTGGGGGGCCCCTTGGGAGACGGGGGAGGGGCCTCTCGAAGACCCAACGAACATCTGCTGCTGCAGCGCAGCAACAGACGCCATCCCGAGGAAGCCGAGTGCGTACTGCTTCTGCAACTGCAACTGCAGCACCAGCAGCAGCAACTCAGGCAGCTACACCAGCGGATACTGCCGTTGCCACTGCCGAAGCTGGTGCCCCCACAAACGCCGGGGCACGAAGCGAGAGGCAGCAGCGGAGGCGGCGAGAAGCGGCAGCAGCAGCTGCTGCTGCTGCTTCTGAGGAATCGTCTTCAGCTGCGGTTCCCCACAGGTCCGACCGCCACAGGACCTCTCGGCAGCGCAGGCACCAAACGGCGTCAGCAGATGCTGCAGCAGGCCCAGGCATAGATAGCACGTCGTCGGGCACCACTACGGCTCCTGCAACGGCAGCAGCACCAGCAGCAGCAGCAGCAGACAGCAGCAGCAGCCAAGCATCGGGACGGAGAGGCGTTGCTTCTGCGCTGCCAAGACGAGAGAGAAGGCCGAGGGGAGCAGAAGCCCTTCGATGCAAATTTGGTTGTTTTGCTGTGACGGAACAAGAGCTGCAGGAACTCTCCTGTGGTAAGTGCAGCATAATTGCAGCAGTAGCAGCAGCAGCTGGATAAGCAGCAGTAGCAGTTGGAGCCGCTGCTGGAGCAGCAAGAACAAGGATAAGCTGTAAGGGGGTTGCAGGCTGTGTCCGCTAATGCTTTACAAGGATGCATGCTTTCCTCATAACCTAACGTGTTGCTGCTGCTGCCTGTGCTGCAGGCTGCTGCCTCGATGGATTGTTACCTAGCGGAGACACAGAGGAGACAGTTGGGGTAGCGCGCAGCGAAGACTCCCCCACGGGTCTCTCTGGGGGTCCCTCGGGGATCCCTGCAGCAGCAAATGGCTGCAAGCAGCAGCTAACGAAGGGGGCAGCAGCAGATGCTGCAGCAGCCGACCCTACACCTCCACCACCTTTGGCGCGAATCGATGCATGCGGTCACTGCTTCCACCTGCGTTGCATCCAGGTAGAACGGCGCTGCTGCTGTTGTTGCTTGTGGCGGTGCTTCTTCAGCAGGTGCTGCTGCTCCTTCAGCGGGTACCGCTGGTGCTGCTGCTGCTGCTGTTTCGGTGGGTGGTTCTACCCGCGGAACATCTCGAGTGTGTGCTGTTGCTGCTATTGCTGCTGCTGTCTTCAGGTCTGGGCTCAGCGAGAGACATCGTGTCCCCTGTGCAAAGCTGTCTTTTCTTACATTGCTGCCTACCATGGCGCAACTCGGGAACTCCTTGACGTGGTAAGTCCCCTTATCGTGCAGATTTGGGGCCTTGCAGTATTGCATGCACGGATGCATGCATTTTATCTTCATGTATACTGCCGGCAAGGCAGCAGTACTTGTTGTAGGCGCTAATGGGACAGTTTGCTGCTGTGACTGTTTTCTGTTGCTAGTTTTTGCTGCTGCTGCGTTTGTAGCTGCTGCTAGGTTTGCAGCTGCTGGTGGTAGTTTCGCCGTCGCTGTTGTTGTTACTTAGAGTAGTCGTCTGGCCCCATCCCCATACAATCTGTGTGCTGCTGCGGCCTCTGCAGCAAAAATGTGCACATGTCTTTCAGCGGGACTTGCCTTCTTCCTCTGAATCTGTAGTCTCTATAGAGACTGTCTCCTCTGGAGACACCTCTTCCACTGGAACAGACAACCAGCAGCAGCAGCAACAGCAGCAGCAGCGGCAGCAGCAGAGAAGCATTAGAAGTCGGAGGCCTCCTGCAGGCGCTGCAGACGCAGCAGGAGATGAGGCATCCCAGGGCGTCGTAGGGGTATGCAGCTGCCGGTTGCCCTAGTTCATGCTCCTGCTGCTGTTTTGTTTGCTGTTGCTTGCTGCTGCCAGCTGCAGCTGGTGCCGTTGACCCTATCTTCTGTTGCTGTTGCTTGTTGTTGCTACCGCTGCTGCAGCAACTGGTGCGTCGTGTATTGGAGTCTTGGGGGCGGACGGTGTCGTCTCTTCGCCGCACCAGCCGCACCTCAGGCGCCTCGGATTCACCCTCGTCAGCAGCCGCATCAGGAACAGGAGCAGCAGGAAGGGGGCGAAATCGCTCAGGGAGGAGGGGGCCCCCAGCTGTCCGGCGGCGGAGCACAGAGGTGGAAGAGGGGCCACCGCCCAATAGGCGCCGTAGAGAAGAACGAGAGGGTGCTGCATATGCTGCTGTTGCGGTTGCTGGTGTTCTTGGTGCTGCTGGCTTTGTTGCTGCTGCTGCCACTGGACAAGTTGCTGCTACTAGTGCGCACGACTTTCTGCTGGTGTTGAACGGCCTACTGGTGCTACCGTTTTACAAGTTGCTGTTTTAGTTGCTGCTGCTTCTGCTGCTGACGTTGTGTTGCTGCGGCTGTTGCTGTTGCTATTCTGCTTCAGATTCAGAGGACGAGCGGCCGCTGCCAGCAGCAGCAGAGGTGAGTCCAGGAGGAGACTCTTGCCCATCTGCAGCAGCTGCTGCAGCAATAAAAGAAGCAGCAGAATTCTTCAGAGAAATTTGCTTTGTCCACTGAGGGTTTGTGCTTTGTGCGTGCTGGGGTACCTCTTTAACTCTGTCCATCTTTTTCGGTCTTGTCTTTTTTGTTGCGTTCTGTATATTCACTGCTGCATATGCGTGTGGCATTGCCTGCTGTTTATGTATGTATGCGTATATGTTATATAATATAGCGAGACACGGCAGCACTCGCGATACCGCGTTCAAGTGCTTCGCTCGAGTGTGCTGCTGCTTCTGCTCTCCAGGTTGCGCGGCGCACAGCCGCTTTTTTTCAGCGCCGAGTGGAGGCGCTTTACCAGGGCACAGAACAGCAGCAGGAGCAGGAGCGAGGGACGGCAGCACCGCCAAGTGCCGCTGCAGCGGTCTCCATGGAGAAGCAGGGGTTGCGCAGTGTGAGCTGCAGGAGCAGCTCGGAGGCGCCTGCTTCCGGAGCAGCAGCTCCCGTCGCCTCTGGCGCAGCAGCAGGAGCAGCTGCAGCAGGAGCAGGTTCATCAAGAAGAAGAGGGATGACACCTGTAATAGTGCCTCTGCGTGCTATCAGCAGCATTGGCCTCTCACGAGAGCAGCGACCCCCGAGGCTTGGTGCTGCCGGCTGCTCTTTTAGTCTCTCACCAAACTATGCAACAGACTTTCTGCTGCAAACCAACTCCAGCAGCAACGCAGCAGCGCCAGCGGCTCCCGGTGATGCGGGTGGTGCTGCTGCTGCAAGGGCTGCTGGAGGGGCAGCGGGCACTTAGATACTTACACGTGGGAGACTTGCGCCCGTGCTGGTGGGAGCAACTGCAGCGGCAACTGTTGCTTTATTTCTTGCTGCTGCTACTTTAGCAGCAGTTGCTGCTAACTCACGGATGGGACTTGTTTGAACTCGGCACGGTGTGCTGCGGTTTAGCTGGGAATATCTGTCCTGGGGTGTACGTACAGCGCGTGCTGCGCAGACTTGTTGTGTCCTTGGCTAGCTGTTTAGCTGCTCTGCAGCTCAACCTCATTTAACGCCTGTTGATTTTTAAACTTCTTTACTGAGCGCTAGCTACAGTGCTGTTCCTCCTGGTCGCAGCAGCAGCAGCAGCAGCAGGCACTGTCTTCTATCACAACGGGCAACTGCTGCAGCCTGTGTATGCTGCAAGCAAGCATCGAAAGCTGCCTTCACCGTCGGTGGTGTTGGTGCTGTTGCTGTTGCTGCTGCGCGAGCTGCCCATAGTAATAATGGCACGCTAAGGAAATGGGCACATTTCCTAAAGTAATAAAAAGCTCAGTCTCAGCGCGTTGCTGCATGCAAGAAGAACCACCTGTCACGTGCGAGGCCCCTCCAGCAGCAGCAGTAGGAGCAGCAGCAGTGGCAGCGGTAGGGACTGCAGCTGCAAAATTGCGTAAGCTGAAGCAGCAGCAGCAACGAACAGGTCGCGAGTGCTGCTCCAATGCAATGCCGGGGCCATCGAATCTAAATCTGCTAAAAATTTGGCTGAGACGAGAGCCTGCTGCTGCCGGTGCTGTCTGTTGCTGCTACTATGGAGCAGCTGCTGCTGTTGCTGCCTCTATGATGGTGCTGCTGCATACGCAGCAAGAACAATAAATTCTGAGGGCCCACCGAGGCGTCCTCATGGCCACCCGCAGCATGCCTGCTTGAGGAGGGCCCTACTGCTGCTGTTTTTGTTGCTGCTATTACTGTTGCTGCTGCTCCTGCTGCTGAATAAGCGGGAGAAATCAGAAGGGAGAGAAGACTATCTGGAAGAGGACGCTGGCTGCCAAAAGACAGACAGGGTGAAAAGCAGCCCAGGCCGCGACGGAGAGAAACAGCGACGACATTGTTAGCTGCAAAAGGATACAGCCGCAGCAGCAACAACACCAGCAACAAGCAAGCAAACACAATTTTACAATCAGCACAGGGATACAAGCAAGCAAATAGCAAGGGAGAAACATATAGTAACCCGCTTCTACGGTCTCTTACCTGGATGGCTGTGCATACACCCAGATATTGCATGCAGCTTACGCAGCAAGAAAAGGGCCGTCCGTTTCGCTCATTGTGCCGCTGCAGCTGCTGCTGCTGTTGCTGCTGGTGTTGGTACGGCTGTTGGTTGGACTCGTGTATAGCATCACCTGCGGTGCTGTTACTTCTGCTGCTGCTGTTGCTGTTGTTGTTGCTTCTTCCGCTGTTGCTTCTGGTGCTGCTGTTGCTGCTGCTGCCGCCTGTGCCAGTGCTGACGTTGCTGCTGTTGCTGCTGCTCCAGCCTGCGACCTTCGCAGCTGGTGCGTTGGTGCTACCGCTACGTGGGGCATGTCGTGCTCGGTTGCGGACGCGTCTGCTGCTACAGATATGCACCAGCAGTGCAGCAGCAACTTTTCCAATTCTTTGACTCACAAAGAGACAGAGAGGGAGGAGACAACAAAAGTATATTAAGCCAAAGTGATCTTGTGTGCGGGTGAGGCCCCACGAGCCGCGGGAACGGAGGCTGTCGGGCAGCAGCTCCTGCAGCGGGGCTGGCAGCAAGTTGGCTATATAGACTGCTAGGACTGGCAATGCAGCATCCATTAAAGAAGGCCCAGCCAGCACAGAAGACGAAAACAAATGGCCGACAGTCCCATCGGGCCCTGCGAGCTGAGGACATACAGAAGCACCAGTGCAAAAGCAGCAGAGTAGCAGCAGATTCACAAAGAAGGCACCAATAAGACGCAATAATATCAAAAAGATACACAAACCGTCAGGCGACAAAGGCGAAAGCAACGAGAAACCATTAAAACGACCAACAAGCCGTTTGCTCGCAGACAGGACAGAACCAAGCAGCTCAACGGCTGCAGCGTCAGTGGCAATAGACAAACGGACACAAAAGATCAGGAAAGGGGACACACCAATCCCCCCAAAAGCAAAATACGGAGAGAGCGGTGGCACAGAAAAGGGTGCACAGAACTCGGTTAATAACGGCCAGCTACAAAGCATCAAAGCTACGTCGCAACAGCTCCGCATGGTGTTGCTTCGAATGCTGCCTCACAAAATGACCTGCTGCTGGCACTGCTACTGCTACTGCTACGGCAAACTAAGCAGCAATAGCAGCCGCAGCAGCGGTAACAGCAAAAACAGGCTGCGCCGTCGCCGCAGCAGCAGCAGTGTGAGTAACAGAAGCGTGACGTGTGTGAACTTGTGTTTGCTCTGCGATCTGCAGCAGCAACACTAGCTTCCCCTGCAGCAAGAGACGCACCAAGCTCTTTTCTTCTTCCGTTTGCACATGCAGATTCAACAGGCGCAGCAGCGCATAGCCAGCGCACAGCCACAACTGCAGCAGCAGCCAAAAGGGCTGTGCATACACCGCAGCAAGGCAACCCAAGCGACACGAATCCATCGCCCACTCAACCACGCAGCCTCCGTTGGTCGATGCCCATTGGCTGCTGCTACTGCTGCTGCTACTATCCGTGTTGCTGCTGCTCGTGCTGCTGCTGCTTGTGTTGCTGCTGCCCGTGCTGCTGCTGCCTGGGTGCAGCCTGCAGCGCTGGCGGTTGGCAACTACGACGTTGCTTCCCAGCTCAAGAAAAAAGAGGACAACGTAGAAGGGCAGCAGCAACAAAACCAGGCGGTAGGGAAACAATGCAGCAGCCAGAAGCAGGACAGCAGCAGCAGCACCAGCCAGATTCCTCGGAGAGCAGAGCCTCGACCGGACCCGTTGCCCTGCAGCTTTGGTATGTGAAGTGTACCCGCAGCACTCCGTGTCCGCCAAGCTTGGGCCTGCGTCTGTTGCTATCACTATGTCTGCTGCTGCGTCTGCTGCTGCTGTTGCGGGCCTTCCAACTTCACCACGCCCATGGACACCAGCTGTTTTAAAGCCCTTTTTGCTGCTTTTGCTGCAGTAGACGCTCTTTGAAGCATGCGCTTGCACTCTGCAACCTTCGCTGCCGCCTTTGCTGCGGTAGCATCCCTTGCAAAGAGAATCTGGCTCCGGTGCATGTACAGCAGCTGCTGTTGCAGTATCGCCTACAGTAGCTGCTACAGGAGACCGCCTCGATATTGTGGTGGCAGATGTGTGCTGTGGGGAGGCAGCGGCGGAAGGCGACAGCATTAGAACAGCCGAAGTCGGCTGCAATTCTATCTCCTCGTCCTCCTCGCCCGCAGCAGAACCAGCAACAGAAGCAACAGTACATCCGTTTGTGGACATGTACAAAGGAGTAAATCGCCTGCCTCGAGTGTACAGACAGCTGCGCCGCCATTCGCTGATGCTGCTCACCCATCCTGAAAACGTCACCACTAGCCGCCTAACCCGCGTAGTTACTGATGCTGCTGCTGCTGCTGCTGCTGCAGCAGCTGCAGCTGCCGCTCGCCGGCTCTGCGATGGAAACGGCAGCTGCAAGTGCTGCATGCAAAGCAGCAGCAGCACTAAAACCCGCAAAACCAGCAAGACGACGACAGACGAGCACCAAAAAAGCAGCAACAGCAGCGGGAACGGCAACGGCATTGGAGTAAAGGCCGTGGGTGAGTTCGGACGGAAGGCGTGGGGCCCCACAAGGGGCAGCTGCTGCAGTGTCTCCTTAGAGACACTGCAGCAGACGAGACAGCTAAGGATGCTGAACAGCAGGTAAAGAGTTGCTGTTCCCTTGCTGCCCCAAAATACTCCGAAGGGAAGAGAGCCCGTGCATTGCAACGAATCTGCTCCTGCTGCTGTTGCTGTTGCTGCCGTTGCCGTTGCTGTTGCCGCTGCTCTTCGGCACGTTAAACCCATTAGGGCGAACAGTTTCATGGACTGGTGCAGCAGCCGACACGCGGCGCCCCTGTGGATGTACGCTCGGCAGCCGCCTCCTGCAACCCCCGTTGTATACTGCTGCTGCTCCTGCGGGGCTTGGTACTGCTGCTGTTGCGTTAGCAAGCAGAACTTGGCAAAGATAAAAAGAGAGGAGAGGCCGAAAAACAGCGCTGTGTTTGCGGAGACACCGGCGAGGAAGAGATATAAGTACTCCCCAAACAAAACCCTAAAGAAAGACAGCCAGTTCAAGCGAGCCTCCACCACAAACTCGTAGAACTCCTCATCACTGCTGCTGCTGCTGCTGCTTTGGTTGCTACTGCTAGAGCTGCTGTTGCTGCTGTCCCTGTCGCTGCTGCGGCTGCCTCGATAAGTGTCGCCAGTGTTGCTGCTACGCCTGCTGCTGCTGCTGTTATTGCTGCTGGTTGCGGCTGCAGTGTAGGCGGTCGCGAGGACGTTGCGTTGGGGGTCCTGCAGCAGCAGCAACGGTATGTGTGTCTGCTGCCTCTCTGCCAGTTCCCTTTCTGCTGCCTTCAGCTGCAGCTGAGCATTTTGCAACAGCTCCTTTGCTGCCAGTAAGGGGGCAGCGGCAGCTGCTGCTGCTGCTGTTGTTGCAGCGGCAGTTGCGGCCTCCGCTGGGGTGGCGGCTGCAGGCCATCTGCCCGCTGCTGCTGTCCCCCGGGGCAGCTGCAAAGGCAGAAGGTGCTGTCTGTATAGCCTTGAAGGAGTTCTACGGGGTAAAGCAGCAGGAGGGAGAGATGCAGCAACAGTAGCATCTGGGGGGGGCCTCCGAAGAGCCATGATGCTGCTGGAGCTCTCCACGTCTTTCAGGGCAAAGACGCTTTTCCGGCCCATTCGCTGCTGCAGCAGCTGCTGCAGCTGAAGCAGGCGCTGCTGCTGCTGCAGCATCTTCTCCTCAAGCTCGTCCTGTTGTTCCTCCTCCTCTTGCAGCTCGTTCTGCTGCTGCTGCTGAGGCTCCGGCTGCCGCTGTTGTTTGAAGCTGCCGTGAGACGCCCCAGCAGCGAACAGTTCTTGCAGATGTTGCGACCTGATTGCAGGAGTTCGTAAAAGCCGTTGCAGCAATGTCAGCCCCGAAGGCAGACCTCCCGCAGCGGAAGGTGCAGCAGCAGCAGCAGCCGGTGCAGCAGAAGCTTCAGCAGCAGCTCCAGGTGCTGCAGGAGCACCGGCTGCTACGTTCCGCGCAGTTGCAGAGCGGGCTGCTGCTGCTGCTGCTGCTACAGCCAGAGAAGCTCCTTTATTCACTGCGACGCGGCTGAGACCCAAGCCCCCAGCTGAGACAGAGGGCCAGGCGAGCAGCCACACAAACTCAGGAGCAGCAAACGTAGGCAGCCACCATGGATTTGACCTGCTGGTCCTGCTGTTGTTGCTGTGAGTCTGCGTTTGCTGCAGCTGCGGACGGCTCAGATGTACGCTGATGTCATACGGCATCAAGTGCCCCCAGCGTTCGTTATACGGCAGCCAGAAGGGGCGAGGCACCCCCAGCTTCCCCGCAGCAGCAGCAGTAGCAGCAGCAGCAGCGCCCCCCGTCCCACTCCTGCTGCTGCGGCTGCTGCTTGTGGAGAGAGGGTAGGCGAAGGCGGGCAGCCTCGCGCGCATCGGGAAGAAAAGTGACAGAGAAATTCGCAAAAGGAGACATTTCTGTGCCAGCCACTCTAACCACGCATTTTCAAACTGCATTATAGGACCCGCCAACGGGTCCCCCACAGCATACTTTTGCTGCGTTTGCTGCTGCTGTTGCTGCTGCTCAGAAGCAGCAGCCCACGAAGCGAACCCGTTGTCAAATGTGGGAACTTCGAGCGACCCCAAATAGCCAACATCCATCCCCAATAAAAAAGCGCGAGGCTCCCAACTCTGCGATTGCTGCTGCTGCTGCTTCAGCTGTTGCTGTTGCTGCGGCTGCGATGCAGCGAGAGCAGCGAGGACTGCACCGCCACCGTTAAACGTCCAGCCGCAGCTGCGCAGCGGGTAGCTCGTCTGTATGTCTGGCTGGAGGGCGAAAAAGCAAAAGCGTCGTCCCCCCACCTCACCTTCTGCTGCTGCTGCTGTTGGCGCCCCTCCTGTTGCGGGTATGCTTGCCTCAATGCTCCGCACAACCCGCTGCAAGAGTTCGGGGTGGTTGCATTCGTCCATCCCGAAATCTGCAGGAGCGGTAGCATCATCAGCAGCAGCACCAGCAGCCGCAGCAGGTGCTGCTGCTGCTGCATCGTCATGAAGAGCGACCTTGGGTAGTTGCTGCTTCTTCTGTGTCAGACGCGAAAGATAATTTGCTGCTGGGTGCTCCACTGCAAGCAGCAGCAACCCCCGAGGCAGGAATTCGCTGCGTCGGCCAACTGTGAGTGCCTCAGCAGCAGCAGCAGCAACAGCAGAGGCTTGTGCTGCAGCAGTAGCTGCTGCCGCCTCATCGGGTGTCTTGCTTGTGCCGGTTGCTGCTGCCTTAGCTACAGCCACGGCGGCAATGTGGCTTAGGAGTGCTGCATGCAGGTGCTGCTGTTTTGGGTTCTGTTGCTGCTGCTGCGTCAAGGCACGAAGGTCGCAGGGCCTTGAGCTTCTTCCATCAAAGAAGTCGGCAAAAAAGGTCCGGGTGGAGGTTTCTAATGTGCTGGGCTGAAGTGTCACCAGAGGCAGCGGGGGCGGCCGTCCTGCCTGCAACAGAGGCCAACCTGTTGCTAGTGCTGCTGAGGCTGCTGGGTTTCCGGTCTCCTGCAGCTGCAAAGGCTGCAGGCTGACTGGGTACACCGTGAAAGGACCCCAGGATCTGCTGTGCCCCTCCCTTAGAGCTTCCTCGAGGCATGCATTGTCCGCTGCGCAGCAGCTGCTGCTACTGCTGCTGCTGGTGCAGGCTGCACCAAGGAGGGCCTCATTCAGCAGCCGCTGGGTCTCGAGGGGCAGAAGAAGCAACCGATCCGGAGAGATGGGCAGCATAGCCAATAGCTTCGCCTGAATGAGGAAGTTGGGGGGGAGCAGCTCCGACCCCAATCGTGCTGCTGTTGTTGCTGCTGTTTCCGCCGTATCTTCTTCTGCAGGCAGCCCGTACTTGAAGCGCAACACATGTTCCTGCAGCAGCGGCAGTGCTGAACGCGCCCGCTGCGGCAGCAGCAACAATTCTGCTGCTGCTGCCCAACAAAGCTCCTCCTCGTCGTCTTCCTCAGCAACACCAGCAGCGAGGGCTGCTCCTGCTTCACCCGCAGCAGCAGCTGCTCCTGCTCTTTCGTGCGTATGGAAAAGGATAGCTAGCATGCCTTTGGTGTACAGACAGACCTCCTCCTTGCTGCAGCTGCTGCAGTTGCCGCTGCGGATGAGTGCAGCGAGGGCCTTGGGCGAGTTCCCCACCCTGGTGGTGGCCCCGGAACCTGGTGCTGCTGCTGCAGCACCAGCATTAAAGGGAGAGAGCAAACGCTGCTGCACCTCCGTCTCCACGGCAGCAAGGATAAGAGACAAAAAGTCCTGCTGCTCCGTAAGCCGCCATGCAGGGTGCAGAAGCAAAAAGCTGGATAGCAAAATCGGAGGCAAACGCAACCGTAGGAACTGCAACACTGCAGCCCCTGAAGCCAAGGCAGCATTCACAGCCTTCAGCTGCAGCTTCACCTGCTGCTGCTGCTGCTGCAACTGCATCTCCTGCTGCAGCTCCCCCGCCTGCCCCTGCACCAGGTGCGCCCTCCCACTCAGCTGCTCCTCTACTTGCTGCCTCTCACTCTGCTCCTGCTGCTGCTGCAAGAAAGCACGGACGGCAGCAGCAGCAGGCTCCAGCTGCTCAGCAAGAGCCACCTGCGCCTGCAGCAGCTGTACGAATACCTTCACTTCCGAGAGGGATTGCAGAGGGCACTCGTGGCAAGACGATGTATGTACACCTGAACTGAGGGGAAGAGAAACCCGTGTATAATATATCTCACGAGACAATAAACCGCAGCGAGACGCACCAGCCAACCCTAGGCACTCGGACGCCGCGCTACCGCTGCTACTGTTGCTGTTGTTGCTGCTGCTGCCTTCGTTGCGATGACTGCTGGTGCTGCTCTCGGAAGCTGCACCCTGACTCCCGTTTTGTTGTGCTCGCTCCTCTTCCTGCTGCTGCTGTTGCTGCAGCTGTCGGCTGAGAGCGGTGAGTCTGCTGCGGGCGATTTTTAGGCTTGCCATTGCTAGGAAGAAGTGAGGAAAAATCTCAGGCGTCGCCTCAGGAAAGCTTGCAACCGATTCATGTACGAGAATGTCTTGCGTCCCAGAGGAGACAGTGAAGAGACCCACTGTGCGCGGCAGTAGCAGCGCCTGCTGTTCCTGCAGCAGCTGCTGCAGCTGCTCCTTCTGCTGCTGCTTCTGCTGCTCCTGGTTGTCGCTATTGGCGCTGCTGCTGCTCATGCTATGAGCCAACCCCAGTACCTGCGGGAGGTCTTCATGCACCTGGCTGTACATCCAGTGGAAGCTGGGGAGCTGCTGCACGAGTTGGTGACCGCTTACTGGCGAATTGATGAAAAAGAGGGACAAAAGAGATAGCTCCCGCAGATCGACAGGAGGCGACACCCGGCGGCTATGCTGCTGCAACGAAAGAGCCCGTAGAAGAGACAGTCCCCCCAGAGAATGCGCCACGATTGCTACGTGCTGCACCTGCTGGCCCCCACGCTTGTACCGCTCCAGCAGGTGCTGCAGCGCCAACAAAATAAATTCCGCCTGATATCAACACAGCCGCAGCAACAGAAGCAACAACAGAAGCAGCAGTACATGCAGCAGCAACTACCACAAACAGTAGCAGCTGCAGTAGCAACAACACCAACAACAGCAGCTGCGGCAGCAACAATGGAAGCACGCGCAGATGCAATAGTATCACCGCCATCACCAGCAGATACTGCAGCAGGAACAGATACAGGAGTCGCGAAATCATTTCGTGTTGTCTTGGTTTCCTTTGACATCAGGGCACCCCAATTAGGAGACAACACACACGGCAACAGTGCGTGCAAAAGCCGAAGGAGCAGTGCTACTCTTTCAAAAGAAGCAACAAAGGCATAGGACCACCACCAGCAGCAGCAGCAGCACGAGCAGCAGCAACGGCGGCGACACCTGAAACACCCGCAGCAGCAGCCAGGCTACAAGGGCCGCCAGGATCCCTAGGAGAACCCAGCCCCCACTAGCATCATGTCAGCAGCAGGGTCTCCAGCAGAGCGGCAGCAGTTGCGGCAGCAGCGCACCTGTTGATCGACGAGCACAGGATGTATTGCCGTGGCCTCTTCATTGAAGTCTAAAGAATACGAATGCCATCTGCTAGGCCCTTCCGTCTGAGGCTGCACCTCAGGAGGCAGAGGCAGCGGGTGTTTCGGATGTCTGTACAGCTTGCCACCACCCCAGCTGCCACTAATAATAACTGTCTCCATCAAAGGGAAGAATGCAGTCCACGAGCCACGGTGGCCATGAATCGTTAGCAGCAAGTGCACCTTACGGTTAGTTGTTGCTGCTGCTGCTGCATCTGCTGCTGCTGCTGCTCCCCCTGCTGTTATTTGAGCTGCACTCGACGGTGGTGTGTGAATTGGAGCCGAAGTGAGAGCAAACTCCTCGAAGAAGGCAGTGTCTGCTGCTGCACGAGCTTCGCTTTCTGCTGCTGCTGCTGCTGCCTCAGCGGCTGCATCGGCTGCAGCAGCAGGGTCAGCAGCAGCAGCAGCAAGTGCTGCTGCCTGCTGCGGTGTCAGACGCAGCTCCTCAGCACTGCGCTCGAGAACAGAGAGAGGAAAAGCAGACAGTCCGTCCTGTCTGCCTGTCTTTGCTGTTGTTGTTTGCCCGCCATTGGTAGCTGTGCTCCTGCTGCTGTTGTCGGGTGTACTGGCAATCCCCCCCTCCTCTTGCTGATTTGCTTCCACTTGATCGGGCAATAAATTGTCTAAAGCCAGAAGAGGCATCACTTGAATGAGGCCATAGTGGACCCCTGCAGCAACCAATACACGCATCCACTGCAACATGTGGTGTTGTTTCTGCTTCTCATGTTGTTGGTTTTGCTGCTGCTGCTGCTTTCTTGTCATAGGCCGCTAGTGCAGCTAGTGCGGTTGTAGTTCTTTGCAGCAGAGTTAGCAAAGGAAGGGCCGAATAAAGCACGCGAAGACAGCACAGAATAGACAGACAAGAGACAACAAAGAAAGAGATAAGGGAGAAAGAGGCTGAGGTAGATATACTCACAGAGAGACATAGACAAAGAAAGGAGATAAAGTAGAGATATACAAAGTAGGCAATCAAAGAAGACAAACGAAGCTAGAAGAGAGGGACAAAAGAGAGTTGTAATGAGACTGGCAGGGAAGAAAGAAAGAGAGGAGACAGACAAATAGACAAATAATGCAGAGGCACAAAAGAGTCGAATAAGGGGACACACAGAGACAAACGTAAAGAGGGAGATGGTGGAAGGGACAGAAATAATGCAGAAAGGGAGAGAAAGAATATGTTAACTTATTTGCGTCTTCTTCATCTGTGTCTATGTGTGTCTCTCCTGTGTATCGCTCTCCTTGGTGAGCTTCTCAAGATACAAATAAGGAGACAGATACAGAAGACACGAATAAGGAAACAAACAAAAGGACACGGATGAAGAAGACACAAATGAGGAAACAGAATAAGCCACATATAAGGAGACAGAAGGAGACATAGACAAGGAGACAGATAAAGGAAGAGATCTAAAGAAGACACAAATAGGGACACAGATAAGGAGGCGGACTTTCCATGTTAACAGCAATACCAAAGCACGCAGAGAGGTAGCTGTTGCTTGGTGCATTTGTTGCCTTGTGCAGCGGGAAGATAGAGGTAAGAATCATAAGGAGAAATGCAGCTCCTGCTGCAGCAGCAAAAGCTGCAATTGCTGCTGCTTTTGCTGCCCCTCTCCATCGGGCCAACAGCAAGCTGCTGCCCATCCTCTGACAAGATGTTCTATCCAAGATTGGAGCATATTGTCTAGCCTGGCTGGTTGCCACGAAAGGTTTTCTGTAGTGCACAAGCACGACAATGTGGCTCTGGTGTGATGTCAGTAAGCTACTAGAGATCACACCATAGCCACATTGTAGTGCCTGTGGAATGAATATTGGGATTAGGGCATTAGTAACTAGGAAAGGGAACTAATACTGCTAAATGTTCTAAGAATCGAGTACCGTAGGTAGAGTCAGGTTAGTAGGTTTACTGTAACACACGGTGGCCGCATACCGTGGCTACGTAGTCACCTCTATAGGCCTATAGGCCCCCGTATGAGCTAGATCTACAAAATGAGTGTCTAAATCCCTTAACTCTCAGTTATTCCCATGGAAAATCCCTAAATTACGGAACTTCCGAAGGAAGGTTCGTTCCAAAATCGCCTTCCTTTAGTGAGTCTGTTCCTCCCCGCCAGGTGCGGGTTTCACCCTGCCGTCCAACCCGGCGCCGGGTGCGGCGGTCGGACCGCAGGCGAGGTCCGACTCTTTCGGACTAACTCTGCTCCTGAATGTACCAATTTTATTCAAATTCACAAAACCTCTATCCTTAATTGAATACACCGAGCCAGACATGACCCAACTATGTCACTTACCTTCTATGCGCCAGCGCGCATAGCTCTGCGACGGGGTGCTGCTACTCAGTCCCAGCACCAAATCAACTGCTACACCTCTAATATGCTTCTAAACCTGCTAATATTATCGAATTCCGTCTATAGCTAACTTAGGTAACCTCAGGTCTCTTATAGGCTGCTGTCCTCACTCTCTATCTTACAGGCTGGCTACCGCAACTGTGGACCATGTAGTGCCTGTGCAACTACATTTACCCGCCAGTCACCCATATCGGCAGTGTAGCGCAAACGAATCAGTGAGGAACCC